TTTACCACAAAAAACTGGGAAAATGTATTGACTCGAGTATAAACCAAGGGTGGGAAATGCAGCATTTACGGGTCAATTTCAAAATAAAAATAGATACCAATAAAATTATATTTATTTAGACACCAGTAGGTTAAATGTTTTTGAATATTTACATAAAACTGTAATTCAAGATAAGACTGTCCAACTCTGATTAAACCATTATTCTAACCTTCTTCAATGTAAGTAGGCTTACATGTCCTCTAATAATATAAAATAGAGTAAAATAATAACAGAGTAAAATAATAAACGTAATAATAACAATACAGTAAAATAATGTAACAATAAGAATAATAGAGTAAAATAATAAATGTAATAATAATAACAACAAAGTAAAATAATAAATAATATTGACTCGAGTATAAGCCGGGGGAGACTTTTTTCAGCCTAAAAAAAGGACTGAAAAACTAGGTTTATACTTGAGTATATACAGTAAGTATATAGGATCAAGGTTGTATATTTAACAGAATAGATTCCTTCAAGATTCTGCAGTCTTTCATAACAATTTTATTTGGATTTTCCCCATGTTTTCTTCTTATAAAGGGAATATTTACACCACATTTTCACCTTGCTCTTATTATTTCTTGTGGATGTGACCTACTCAAATTTGCTTTTGGAAAATTCTCCACACAAGAATTATGAGAACGAAAATTTGCATAGGACTTAATATTTCCATACTACTTGCCTGAAATATCTGACATTCTGACTAGTATTAACTACTTCTTGATATTATATTTTGCTGAAGTTGGAATCCAGGGGCAGGCAGAACATAGATTCAATTAATGTTTCACTTGTCCCTTTTGGGTTAATTGCTGTGGTTGAGTTTCTATTGCCTTAGGCTGTAATTCTAAAAACACTTTCAAGGGAATGAGTCTACTGAAGATACTAAGACTTAATTTCTGTGTAAACTAGCATATGATTATCCTGTTAGCTGTTGTGCCATCAGGCGTTAATATGTATTCTGTTATTAATTAACTTGTAGACCTCATTATATTTATTCAAGTCCACTTGTAGACTTGACAGGTGACTGATCTTAAACCCATTTGTCATACAGACATTTGTTTAATCATCTCTACCCACCACAGGATTTATTTTTGTCCATTACAATATGGATGGAGTATGGATTGGGGTGACTGAGATAGTGTTATCCCACAGAGTGTCCAAGGTCCCATTCTCTGTTCTTCTGGGGTTAGGCACTTAAATACATTAAAGCAGGGGTCCCCAAAGTAAAGGTCTGTAGACTGAATGCAGCTCTCCAATGTCATTATCTGGCCCCCAAACTAAACTGTAGATTTAGGGTCACCTTAAGTCTGAATCAACTTGAAGGCACATAACAACAACAACAACAACAGCAATCCGTCATGTATCATGTTCTGCAGTTGTTGGTGGTTGGTGGTGGTAGGCCCAGCAGTTGGTGATGGAAGGGTTAATTTAAGTCTTAGTTCTAAAGGGTTGAGTAATCTGTAAGTAAGAATTCATGGGTGAAAGCAATTAAAGATGGAGGTATGCAAGAGATAGGTTGCAGCTGGGTGTTTCTGGATATAAGGTAGCTAGCCTTGAGACTGATTTTTGGGAGAAAAGTATTTGTCTTATTTTGATGGTAGATGCTGCTGGTTTTCCCCCAGGTTTGTGGATTTTTGATATCCTGAACCTTTGGAATCCTGGAACCTTGAATCTTTGGACTGGCTTTTTACTACAATATAGACTCTTGAAAAAGGAAGAGGGGCCGACCAAGGGCAAGATGGATGGATGGCATCCTTGAAGTGACTGGACTGACCTTGAAGGAGCTGGGGGTGGTGACGGCCGACAGGGAGCTCTGGCGTGGGCTGGTCTATGAGGTCCCGAAGAGTCGGAGACGACTGAACAAATGAACAACAACAGACTCTTGATCCGTGGACTTTGCTTATTGAACTCTTGCCGTTTGGCCTGGATCTTTTGACTATTGTGTTATCTTGAAACTGCAACAGAGTTTGCTGCCAGTTTTTGTTTTATATTCTGTGGCTGAGTGCTATCTTTATGTTTTATGTTTTGGAGTATTAAAACAGCCAGACATTACTTAAAGTGCTGCTTTAATTAAACTGTTTGATACAAACTGGGTGTTTGTTTGATTCACCTCTGCCTAAATACAGACAGAGCCCTGGCATTGTCACAGAATCCTAACTTGACTATCTCATCCAATGAAATACAAATAAGTTTATGTTGGTTAAAATTGTTCTTCTTTTCAAATATTGTATTGTTCTTTCGTGTTTTTTGCACTACAAATAAGGCATGTGTAGTGTGCACAGGAATTTGTTCATTGTTTTCAAACTATAGTCACACGCACACACACCCCAAAAAAGTTTGAAGGACCGTGGACTGCTTAAAACTTTTCAGGACCCCTGTATTAAAGAATGGCTCACGTTTCCCTTCTTTCTGTTGGATTAGCCCATTTGGAACAACAAGCTCTTATTTTCTTGTCACCTTTGTTTACGTTGAGTTACACTTGGGAGGCCTTAAAGCTTATGACTTTTGGCTGAGTCAGGGGACTCACTGTGACAAGGTTCACTCATCCCTACTTTCCCACATTTCCTTATTTGTAAACTTTGGTATTACAGTGCATGTTGATCCATATATAGACTGTCGCTCTGGGCCAGAGTGAAGAGAGGGGAGGCCAAGGGACAGTTCCATCTTGTCTCCTGGATATGCCATCAGCTGGAGACCCCTCTCCCCAGCACCAACTGTCACTCTGGGCCAGAGTGAAGAGAGAGGGGGCCAAGGGACAGTTCCACCTTGTATCCTGTGCTATTCTAATAATACAATATAATATATTGTATATACATATCTCTCTATATAAAAATGCTCTGTGCATAATGAGTTCCTTAAAAACAAAAGAACCAATGAATGAAATCACACCAAATTTGGCAATGAAATGTCTCACAACACAAGGAGTGACCGTCACTCAAAATATTAAGATTTTGTCATTTGGGAGTTGTAGTTGCTGGGATTTATAGTTCACCTACAATCAAAGAGCATTCTGAACTCCACCAACGATGGAATTGAACCTAACTTGGCACACAGGACTCCCACGATAAACAGAAAATACTGGAAGTGCTTGGTGGGCATTGACCTTGAGTTTAGAAGTTGTAGTTCACCTACATCCAGAGAGCACTGTGGACTCAAACAATGATGGATCTGGAGCAAACTTGGCACAAGCACTCAATACACCCAAATATGAACACAGATGGAGTTTGGAGGAAATAGACCTTGACATTTGGGAGTTGTAGTCACTGGGATTCACAGTTCACTTACAATCAAAGAGCATTCCGAACGCCACGAACAACAGAATTGGGGCAAACTTCCCACACAGAACCCCCATGACCAACAAAAAATACTTAAGGCCATCCAATCCAACTCCCCTCATCAGGGCAAGAAAGCATAATCAAAGTCCTCCTGACAAAGAGCCATCCAGCCACAGAGATAGATAAATAGGGAGTTGTAGTTGCTGGGATTTATAGTTCACCTACAATCAAATAGCATGATAGAATTGAACCAACTGGGGCATACAGGACTCCCATGACCAACAGAAAACACTAGAACGGTTTGGTGAGCATTGACCTTGAGTTTGGGAGTTGTAGTTCACCTATATCCAGAGACTACCATGGACTCAAACAATGATGGATCTGGACCAAACTTGGCACAAATATTCCATATGTCCAAACTTGATCACAAAGGGAGTTTGGGGGAAATAGACCTTGACGTTTGGGAGTTGTAGTTACTGGGATTTATAGTTCACCTACAATCAAAGAGCATTCTGAACCCCACCGACAGAATTGGGCCAAACTTCCCACACAGAACCCCCATGACCAACAGAAAATACTCAAGGCCATCCAGTCGAACTCCCTTCACCAGAGCAAAAAAAATGTAATCAAAGCCCTCCTAACAAAGAGCCATCCAGCCATAGATATAGATAGATATATATGATTCATACACACACAGATATAGTATCATAGATTTGAAAGGGACCCCTAAAGAAGGACTATGATATGTTGCAATATTACGATAAAGTGGTATGGTACAATATAGCAATGTTTAATGCTGATATTGTACTAAAAGGTAAAGGTAAAGGTAGTCCCCTGACATTAAGTCCAGTCATGTCTGACTCTGGGGTGTGGTGCTCATCTCTATTTCTAAGCCGAAGAGCCAGCGTTGTCCGTAGACACCTCCAAGGTCATGTGGCCGGCATGACTGCATGGAGCGCCGTTACCTTCCCGCCGGAGCGGTACCTATTGATCTACTCACATTTGCATGTTTTCGAACTGCTAGGTTGGCAGAAGCTAGGGCTGACAGCGAAAGCTCACGCCGCTCCCTGGAATCGAACCTGTGACCTTTCGATCAACAAGCTCAGCAGCTCAGTGCTTTAACCCACTGCGCCACTGGGGGCTCCGATATTGTACTATGCTAATGATATAATATATTGTATGTAATATATACCTTGTACGCTGCTCTGAGTCCCCTTCGGGGTGAAAAGAATGGCATATAAATGTCATAAAAAAATAAATGTGACTTTCTGTCTCTATACTGCAGAACATGAAAACAATACCCTCTTGGGCCCCAGAAGGCTAGGAAAGACTTCTTCTCCCAGACATCCAGTTTTCTTTGCTTCAGGACTTTTTTTTTTATGGAGACGGGCATGTCATGTGAACTCTCCTCTGTCATCTGAAAACTTACAGTCCAGGCACAGGTTTTCTGAGAATTGGGACTTTTATAACCTGCTAAATGCACTCTTACATATTACATGAGCAAATTAGCCACAGACACAGTACTAACAAACACGTGTGCATATATGCATTCGCAGTCCTGGGCTGAATAATTCCTGTTTGTGGGGTGGGAAAGAGCAACAGGAAGGAAGCCTATGCTGAACAATGGGAGGAAGTGAGGAACTGGAAAAAAAAAAGACCCAGCAGCAGCAGAGTGAGCACATATGGCTTAGTGTGGTGCAGCTTGATTCATGGGAAAACACCACCCTCGACTATTAAACAAATAAGACTGCTGTGGATATCTTTCGGCCCTGCTGTGGTATCTGTGGCTGAATTCTAACATGAGCGAGGAGGAGGGTAAGGAAGGGTAAGCATTGCATGTGCTATAGTAGTATCCATGTGTCCAGGTGATCTAGAAGCTGATCAAAACTTCAGAGCTTTCCTAACACTGGGGTGTGTGCGGTAGAGATGAGGGGTGCTACGAAAGGTAAATTGTAGAAATGATCTGAGATATAGTTGGTATACTATCAGAAAAATCTTGTCTTTGCTGCAGTTCTAAGTGGTCTGTGACAAACAGTAGTTTCAGCCTTTAACTTGCAACAAAGGAATAGTCATACTGACCTGAAAATAGGGATGAATGGAAGGGTGACAGATTGGCTGACTAAAAGAATAGTCTAATGTGCTTTTAAAGCAGACCATGAAAGAATGAAGTAAGAAGGTCTACTTTAGAACAGAGGAATTGCCTTGATTGCTGCCGATTTCAGACTTCCCTTTTCATGAGCATACAGTCAGAGGCCTCTCATAAGTTCACAAACTGATGATCATTCCCCATTATTTGCTCCAACATCTGATATTTAGGGAAGCACTGTAAATAATATAAAAGCACCTTTGGAAACTCATAGTTCTGTTATCTGTAAAAACAAAATTGGAGTAAAAATAGTAGGAAAAAGTTATGCACACTATTACCTTCCTTTTGCCTGTATCTCCTTTCCTCCCCTGCCTCTTTTGTGAAATGTCATTAGTATAGAGCAGTGTTTCTCAACCTTCCTTATACCGTGACCCCTTAATACAGTTCCTCATGTTGTGGTGACCCCCAACCATAAAATTATTTTCGTTCCTACTTCCTAACTGTAATTTTGCTACAGTTATGATTTGTAATGCATATATCTGATATGCAGGATGTATTTTCATTCACTGGACCAAATTGGGTACATATGCCCTATATGCCCAAATTTGAATATTGATGGGGTTGGGGAGGAAATTATTTTGTCATTTGGAAGTTGTAGTTGCTGGGACTTATAGTTCACCTACAATAAAAGAGCATTCTGAAGTCCACCAATGATGGAATTGAACCAAACTTCGCACACAGAACTCCCATGGCCAACAGAAAACCCTGGAAGGGTTTGGTGGGCATTGATTTTGAGTTTTGGAGTTGTAGTTCACCTACATCCAGAGAGCACTGTGGACTCAAACAATAATAGATCTGGACCAAACTTGGCATGGATACTCAATATGCTCAAATGTAGATACTGGTGGGGTTTGGGGAAAATAGACCTTGACACTTGGGAGCTATAATTCCTGGGATTTATAGTTCATCTACAATCAAAGAGCATTCTGAACCCCACCAACAATAGAATTGGGCCAGACTTCCCATGCAGAACCCCCATGACCAACAGAAAATATTGTGTTTTCTGATGGCCTTTGGTGACCCCTCTGACACCCCATCGTGACCCCCCCCCAGGGGTCCTGACCCCCAGGTTGAGAAACACTGGAGGGATTAAATTTTGATTTGTTGCCACTGTTTTATAAGAGGATTTTGATTAATATGACAAAGCTGAGACTGCCTTAGACAGAGAGCCTGACAGTTTTAGACTTACAAATGTATACAAATTAAAGCCATTGGGTTCCATCTAGCAGCAGAAAGTGGAGAGGTTTTTTTGGGAGGATGACAGAACACAGGCGGGGGCTTTGTTGACAAAGCAGTACAAAAATGAGGACTTTTCCACCCTGATTCATGAGTCTAGCTAGCAGCTTGGATGCTGCGTTACTTGCTGCCTGGGCCGTCTGTCTGTAGGAGGTTCTCGCTGTGTGTATGACTCACAGTTCACTGACCTCTCTCATGCCCTTCGCCAGCATAGCAGTACAGTAATGCAGAATACAGCTGTGCCTTTTCAGCCACAAACTCCTCCACATATTGGTGACTGTCAGAATTCCTTGCCCTGGGAGAATTTTCTTCTCACTACAATATGATTGTTTCACTTCTTGCTTAGTCTGTATCTTTCTTCATAGAGGAGGGGGCGTTCTGAATGGCTGGCTTGAACCCCCATGGGGAAAGAAAAAGAGTGGGAGTTGATATCTTGGCCCAACAAAGATTGCAGTTGGTCCAGATAAATCGGTTTGATGACAGGACACAGCACAGGGCTTGCCTTTGTGAGAATGGAAGGACTTTCCTCAAGTCTGTTGTCAGTTCTCTCATTCTGAGAAAGAGAAGTGTCTCTGCGAGATCGGTACAGCTTTAATCGTTTTATTTAAGCAGCTTCTGGCATGAATGAGATGCTAGCAATGGGAGTTAGACTACAGGAAGGACAGTTTGAATGGAGGCTGTGTGATTTTTTCACCTTCACAAACCAGAGAAAGTATGAAGCAGAATAGGGAACTCAATAGGCTTACTCTTCTCCATTGCTCTGATTGCTGCTTTGCTGCTGACTATCTCTACCAGACGTTTCACTGCTTTCTTTGCTTCCCACAGATGGTAAACTGAGACGGGTCCTTCCATCCCTGCCAAGGGGACATGCACCACCATTGCCATGTGGATTCTGAAATTGCACACTGGCTTTCTGTTATACATCTGGAGAGATATCAAGATACCTTCAAGCAACATGGATTTGACTCAGTCAGGGATGTGATCTCGCTCAGTAAAGAGGACTTACAGAAGCTTGGCATCACTGCTACTGGTCATCGCAAAAGGATTCTGAATTTAGTCCAACAAACCCGGCAGTTGGTGGGGAACAAAAGTGAGCTCATGGCAGGAGATACCCATCACAAGTCTGGCAGATGTACAGATGCTCTCAATGGACCTAAAGCTGAAGAGAAGAATGATGTTGACAGGAACAGAGAAATCATAGCAGAAACCTTTTCTGACCCTAGGATTCAACATGACTTAACAGATCAGAACCAAAATTCACCATCAAATAAGAAGCCGACGTCTCAAGTGGCCAAGCCAATACCCAAACCCAGAACTGTGTTTCCTCATGCACATCGGACAGCAAAACCAAAGCAGGCTCCATGGCTGAAACCGCAACCATCTGGTCCTTCTCATAAACCTACTTCTTTGCCCAAACAAACTCTAGGAACATCTTTTACCTCGGAGGGGTTTGAGGCAAGTAAAAGTGCCACGAATGCTGAGGGCCTTGGGATTACAACAGATTCCCAGCCTGGGATGGGAAATAAAGTCTCAAGCATCATCCTGCCAGCTCAATATAGGGAATGGATGAATAACTCAGAATCTGCTCTGCTGCCTTTTATTTCTGTGAAAGAAATGAACAGCGAGGTCCAGAGTGTGGATGAAGCCTCCTTTTACTCCAGTCCTACTTGTTTTGCCTGTCAGAGCCAGGCTGTGGACACCAGTCCATCAGAGCCCCTTTCAACTGTTTCCAGAGTACAGAGAGAACCCTTGCCACTTTCGCCTGCCCTTAACAAGTCTTCCTCCCCAGAGGATAGGAATGAGATGGTATTGGATGTTGCTGCACTATTGCCAGTGCCAACCAAAAGTGTGGATGTAAAGGAGACTCCAAGGCATCAATCGAGTACAGAGCCTTCTGGCCTAACTGTGCAAAATGGGATTGTGACCATGGAGAAGGAAACCAAGTGAGTATCTGTAGTCTTCCTAACAGTATCATTTACTATCTTTCAGAAAGCCACTAGAGCAATGGTTCTCAACTTGTGGGTCCCCTGATGTTTTGGCCTTCAACTCCCAGAAATCCTAACAGCTGGTAAACTGGCTGGGATTTCTGGGAGTTCTAGGGCAAAACACCTGGGGACCCACAGGTTGAGAAACACTGCACCAGAGGGAGGTTGGGTAGAACAGGAAATGGGTTCATCTAGGCATGTCAGTCGCATATAACTTCCCTGGCCAGCCATGTACTCCACTTTCTTAAGAATTACTGAATGAATTCCCTTTGTACCTTAACAGTCAGATGGTGTGTCTCAGATATGTATGAGTTTAAGACATGTGTGCAGAACATTTTTTGCCCTGGGGCTGCACTTTGTAATATCAAGACGGTTGTACATGCAGACACAATTTATCCACACATCTAAGTAGGTCGGGTCATTTCTTTACTAAAAAGAAACTGTCATCTTATCTCCCAACAAGGGGAAAAACAATTTCCCCCCTAGCAATCCCAATACAGATCGCTCTTTCCTTGTTGCCAGCAGCAATCACTGTGGAGTTGTGAGAAGCATTCAGTGGCAAATAGGTCAAGAAACCTATGGGGGTTGGTTAGCTTGCATTGTTAATGATCAGTATTCCACAATTGCATCAAAAGCTGCAGTCTCACCTCTTCCTGATAACTTTGGAACGTGTGGCACCAGGAATACTTTGCATTCTGAGGGCAATGGGGGTTTGTTATCTTTCTATCTTGTTTGTCCTCAGAAGGAGTCATGGTGGCCAAGTTCTATGGATCATATATGTATATTATGGATGGTGGCGTATGAATCTAGATTTGACCGTTAGGACCTCTACATGCTCACAATGCGAAAGTATAAGAACATAAGGTGGCAGATGACTTCCAAAAGGGATGGGCAGGGGCAGCTCATCCATTGCCACTGTGAACTTACACCACATACCGCGGCCTCTTTTTTCTTTCATGTGCGCCCCATTGGGTATGCTATTCCACCTCACACCACTCCCTGTTCCCCCACACATCTTGCACTGAAGCAGTATCCATTACGCCCGTGCGGTCGCAGAACACTTTTTTTGCCAGGGGTGCAGTAGCGCCTCTGTAAATGCCCCTCGACTGCCACTTGAGGAGCGCCCCTCAGCTCACAACAGCCCTAGCAGTCCGGGGGGAGCCTCGGCTTTCTTGCCTTGATGCTTCTCGACTGCCACTTGAGGAGCGCCCCCTCAGCTCACAACAGCCCTAGCAGTCCGGGGGGAGCCTCGCTGCCGGGCGATCCTCTTCCCAAAGGGGCCGGGCCCTTGAGCCTCGCCTAGCCCCTCTCGTTCCTGCTCCACCCGGCCACTGGGTGCACGAGCAGAGCCGGCGCTCAATCGTTCTGTGTCTTCGATCCCTTTCCCATGACCGGATCCCTTTCCCGATCCCCTGGCGCTCCACCCACCTCCTCTCCTCTCCCCAATCTACGGGTGGGCCAAGGGGCGGAGCCGCCGCGCCTGGTCCGCTTTGGGTCCAGAGACGTGTCTGAAGACCCCAGTGTGCGCACCAAAAGTCGCCTCTTCTCCTGACTTTCTCTTCAGCCATTGGGACCAAGAGAGAGAGAGCCCCTCCGGCTGGAGGTATCTCCCACCTCCGCTCCCTCCTTTGTTTTTGCGCCTACCTTCAGGAAAGGTGGGCATCTCCACCTCTCTCTCTCTCTCTTGGTCCCAATGGCTGAGGAGAAAGTCAGGAGAAGAGGTGACTTTTGGTGCACACGCCGGGGTCTTCAGGCACGCCTCCAGACCCAAAGCGGGCCAGGCAAGGGAGCAAGTGCGGCAAGTGTAGTTACTGGGATGTATAGTTCACCTACAATCAAAGAGCATTCTGAACTCCACCAATGATGGAATTGAACCAAATATGGCACACAGAACTCCCACGACGAACCGAAAATATATATCAGTGATTGGTTGGGGGGGGGGGGGGCCAAAATACTGTTTGCCTACCATTGAAAATTACCTAGGACCGCCTCTGGGGATGGGTGCTCTGTTTTGTTGCCTTCCTCTGAACCCTACTTACAAGTTCTTTCTGTCTTTGTCTCATGTCAGCTTGCCAGACTTCGTTTGGCCTTTTCATGCCGAAATTCATATGGCAAACTATTTGTTTGTTTTCTTAATGTAAACATCTTGCTTGCATTTTTTTCCGTTGACCAACCATGTTTATGGACATTTTTTTTCTAAAATACTTATGGTATATTTAGTTTTGTGGATACATCGAAAACAAAGGTTGGGGGTGGGGGGAAAGAGACCCTGATGCTAGTAATTTCCTGCCTATCATGGAGAACAAAAAGAAAGACACTTTCATTAATTGACTCATAAACCATGTATGTATCAATTACAAACATTTTTGCTCATCCCTAGAAGTGCCAGTCTCTACATATGGTACCTCACAGGGACCCTAGCCTATTCCAGAATTTCAGATTGGGATAACTATAAATTAGAAGGAATTCCTACTGAGCTGTTTGAGTTGTTCTGAATAAAGCTAATTATATGTAGTTGGAAATCCATAAACAGAGAGAAAAATGCCAGACAATATATTCACATTTATTTGAGTCTATTTATTTTGAATTTTTGTAATCTTTTTTGTGCTGCACAGAATGAATACCAAACTATTGCCAAAAAAAAGACAAAATGTATTCCCAACAAAGAAAGAAAGCATAAATTTGCATAATATTTACATATGCTAATTAATATGTATAGCTGCAAGTAAGGAAATGGTATGTGTGACAGCTTCTAAATATGAGCTATTTGTCGAAAATTTAAGATGAAAGGAAGGGAAGTAACAACGTATTCCAGGAATACGTGGCTTCCAAATTTTAAGCAAAGTTCAAAAGCTGTCTGTAAAATGCCTTTTCTTTTGGAATATTCTCTCTCTTTTCTTGTAGTTCCATGAGACAACTCTGCCAGAATCTAGACCACACACCACAGGGATCAGACAACAGTTCAGGTGAGAAAGAAGAGAAAGAAGACTGCATTTTGGGGGGGTGTCGATAGTGAGAAACAGGAGGAAATTGTCCTGTTATTCATTACTGAAAGGATGTCACATTGAGAATGAGACAAGCTTGTTTTCATCTGCTCTGGAGGCTAAGGATCTCATCAAACAGAGGTACAAAAGCTGGAGGACAGTAGGGGAATCTGTCGGGCAGCAGGGCAAATCCATGGGGCAGCGGGCGAAACCATTGAGCAGCACTTTGCATCCAACATCACCCCCTTACCATCCCACAGCATTTCCCATCTGCCCCCAGCTTCATCCCGTGCTGTCCCCAGCTTAGTCTATGAGAACACGGGTAGTCACCTCATGTTTTCAGAGCAGCCTCTCAACATGCTGCTGATAAGCAGCCAGTATGGAGCCAGGACAAAGCCTCACCAGAAATGGCCCTGGATTATGTGATAGGCTCCAGCAGGCTTCATCCTGGCTGCGGCTTGGCGGTGTCCTAGGATAGGGGAAAAGCCCTGTCTGATGAGGTCCTAGGACATGGAGCAATAGATTCAGATTGCAGGAAAAGAGATTTCACTTAAACATTTGGAATAACTTCCTGACAGTAAGAGTTGTTCAGCTGTGGAAAGTGTTGCTTCAGAGCATGGTGTAGTCTCCTTCTCTGGAGGTTTTGAAGCAGAGGTTACATTGACATCTCTTGGGAATGTTCCTGGATGTCAGAGTTTTGTATTAGATTGCCCTTGTGGTCTCTTCCTGCTCTGTGATTCTAAGAACGAAAGAGCTGGGAGAATGTAAGGGTGCTTTCAGTGTAAAAATAGTACAGAGATTGAGAAAGTTACATTTTAGACTCCATCTGACAGGATCCTCAACAAGTATGACAAGAGTAATGTGTGAAAGATTCTGGGTACATAATCGCAACATTAATGTTTCCAATTATATCCAACACAGGAGCATATGGGGAGGGAACAATATAACAAAATTTTAGGGATGTCCCAATTTAGAAGCTTCTGAAAGGGCAAGATGCATCTCCCAGGAGAGCCCTCTGTAGATCTTCCTGTACAGCAGAGCTACAGTGTATGAATGAGATCAGGGCTGAAACTTCATAGGAATTAAATGTTGTTAGGAATGACCCTGCACAAGAAATGCAATGTAGGGACATTTTTACAATGGAGAATACCCAGAAGATCAAAGATCAGATTTTCAGCTATTTCCATTTTTACCAAGAAGTCTCTGTCACTGGAGTGTTCCTTACTGCCTTTCCATCTTTGGGTTACCTACAGGTCCAGCTGAAGAGGCCATCAGTCCTTACTGTGAGAGTATGTTTGGACAGTTCTGGTCTTCTCAGGTGAGAGTGACTGGCATCATTTTATTCACTATGCTGGTTCCTTTTTCTCCAACTATTCAACTACCAAGATTTTCAGTCTCTTAGACAGTTTGTGTGCAAAAAATAAATAAAGCAAATAAACAAACAAGAGCAAAGCAAATTATAACTACATATCAGTTTGTGGAGTTTGAAGAAATTATTACTGTCTCACAGAAAGAGAGCTTAATTGTATTGTAATAGTCAATGGAAAATGTGATTTCAAAGTTTGGGAGTCCAACCACCTCATCATATTTACCTTGGGAAGTGTTCTACGATGCGTCCACTCAAGCTGGAGGACTAATGGGTTGTCAGTAGTATTTTGGGGCATGTTTACAACCTCTATGGTTTGTTTTTTGTTTGTTTGGGTTTTTTGTTTTGTTTTGTTTTGTTTTTTTGCTTACACAGACCTTATTACCATCAGAAATTAGATAAGCTCATATAAATTCATGGTTTGATAAAAAATCTTGCATAGGCCAAAATAAGGTGAGGCCCCTGGAACACCTAAAAGGATAATGAAATAGCTTGCCAATTTGTTGGACATTGTTGTCTATTTGGGGCAAAAATAATTCAGCCTTCCATATTTTGGAAGCTAAGGACTAGAGGACAACAATGAACGCTTCAGCAAACTTCAGGGTCCAACGGAGGTCTAAGCAAACTCCCATCCTTTTTCTAAAGCTAATCTTATCTGGGGCAATGGATAATTTATTTATTTATTTTATTTCCTATATTTATACCCCACCCTTCTCAGCCCCGAGGGGGGACTCAGGGCAGCCTCACAAACACCATACGGTGTCATCATAATAAAACAATCAACAATATATTAAAATATATAAGTGTTAAAATCTTCTTCTAAGGGAAGTAATCCAAGAGACTACTGCATCATTGTTGTTATTGGGCATGAATTGGGCCTTTATGTCCTTAGAGTGTGGTGGAGTCTCCTTCTCTGGAGGTTTTTAAGCAAGAGTTGGATGGCCAACTGTCAGGGGTACCTTAATTATGCATTTCTGCGTGGTAGGCAGATGGACTGGATGGCCCAGGTGATCTCTTCCAACTCTATGAATCCATGCATTTCTAAACTATTGGCTGGTCACCTTTGGTAACATAAAGCTAGACTAAGCAGACTCCAGCAAAGCAATTTAATTAGCATCCATTTCTGTACTTTGCCTAGAGTGCTGTAGCTTGCTTAGCTGCTGATCACATGAGAACAGTCAATGCTCCATTTCCTAAGCATTTTGCTAACATTCTTCCAGGGTGCAGCTTCCCTTGAATGTCAGGAATATGAAGAGGTGCCAGAATGTGCATCAAGCCAGAGAGAAGGGCCTGCGTAAGTGATTTTAATTACTCTTCCATCTTTGCTTCTTTTCTCTAATGTACAAAATAAAAGGCGGCTGTAGGGAAGAGTATGAAAGTGTGGTTTACCTCCTTGATATAGACAATGAAGATGCTGCTCACAAAGGCAGGAGGAGGTGATGGTGCAGTTCAGCAATCATGGTGGAGGCTTGCCTTTGGTGTAAAATGTAGGACAAATGTAGGACACATAGGACAAAAAATTGTTAGAGGCTGTGGTATGTTTTGCTGTAGTTCTCCATTTAAAAAAAATATCCAAACATTCACCCAAACTATTTTCCAGCAATTCCCAATAACAGTATTCTTCCAAACCCCAAGCAGGTTACTTTAAAATTCCAGAACAAAATATCAGAACAAAAAACTATCTTCTTCCTCCTCTTCCCTCTCCCCCTCCTTCTTCTCCTCTTTCTTTTAAAAAAACTGCATTGACTTCTTTACAGTTATCAGTGAAATGACAGCTTTGTTTTGTAGCATTATAACACTAGGGAAAAACGAGAGAAGACAAAATTTGCTCTTTAGATCATAGGACCATTGCATCAAACCACATCAAAATTTATTTTTTAAAAGCTCTGTTGCATATCCAAGAAATTAGAATAAAATGATCACATGCACAAATGATAGCAATTTGTGATACCGAAGGATGTACATTAGACCCTCGTATTCTGCAATGAGTCTCTTCAAGGACCTTTCAAATAATACATTATTTGAATAAGATCAATTTTTTCTTACCTGAAATTAATTATGACTGTAGCATACTAAAGAACTGAAAATACCTAGAGAAGTATTCTCACTGTAGGCCTTCAGTAGGATTTTATAGTCAATTTTCAGCAATGCTTATGGTAAAACATAGTAATAATAATAATAATAATAATAATAATAATAATAATAATAGGAACTTATGTCACAAGTACCACCTGCCAGTAGTAAAGAACTGGTGGGATCATGAACATGCAAAAATACTTTGGGACTTTCAAATCCAGACTGACAAAGTTTTGGAACACAATACACCAAACGTCACAATTGTGGAAAAGAAAAAAATTGATGTTGCCATACCAGGTGACAGTCGCATTGAGGAAAAACAACAGGAGAAACCCAGCCATTACCAGGACCTCAAAATCGAACCGCAAAGGCTCTGGCATAAACCAGTACAGTTGGTCCCAGTGGTCATTGGCACACTGGGTACCATGCCAAAAAATCTCAGCCGGCATTTGGAAACAATAAACATGGACAAAATCATGATCTGTCAACTGCAAAAGGCCACCTTACTTGGATCTGCGCACATCATTTGAAAATATATCACACAGTCCTAGACACTTGGAAAGTGTTCAACTTGTGATTTTGTGATACAAAACCCAGCATATAGATCTCATTTGCTGTAACATACTGTGTTTTTGTGTCAGAATAATAATAATAATAATAATAATAATAATAATAATAATAATAGTCCTAGACACTTGGGAAGTGTCCGACATGTCATCCAATACAACAGCCAGCAGAGTGATTTTGTTTGCTGTGGACTCATCTTGTTGTGTTTCAAATAATAATAATAATAATAATAATAATAATAATAATAATAACTTTATATTTATACCCTTCCACCACCTCCACCAAGGGAGGTTTACTTGGTTCCCAGCTTACATGGGAACCAAGCCCAGCATACAATAAAATATATCAGCTAAAACAGACTTAAAAACATAATAACATATAATATAATATAAACCATCAAATTAAAACAATTAAGAACACCAAAAGATAAAAACATTGTAAAGGTGTATCAAACTAACATCAACAACCAGTAAACAGGAATATGGTGAGCATGATAAGATTAGAGAGGGCAGGGCTTGGGCTTGTGCAAAAAGCAAGCTATAGGGCCAGGGCTGGAGGTAAAGTGCTGAATACATCATCATTCAAATGAACACCGAAACATATATGTTTTCAAATCCCTGCAGAAAGTAGATAGAGTGGGGGCTAGCAGAATCATGCTGGAGTCCAAGAGAGAACATTTCTCTGGGCATTTTAGATACCCCAGAGCAATTCTATAGTATTCAAAGGTCTTTGAAGCAGCATTTAACAAGCTTCCATAATAAATGGGTCTGTATTTACTGTAAGAACTCATGCTTCTTTCAGCTAGTATGAAAGACCAGTTAGAGCAGTGGGTCTCAGCCTGTGAGTCCCCAGGTGTTTTGGCCTACAACTCCCAGAAATCCCAGCCATTTTACCAGCTGTTAGGATTTCTGGGAGTTGAAGGCCAAAACGTCTGGGGACCCACAGGTTGAGAACCACTGACTTAGAACAAAGGCTTGGGAGGTCACATTAACCTTCAGAAGACCTTGGAGGGTCACTTTTACACCCACCCCTCACAGCCCAAAAAAGTTTTACTTCCCAATGCTGGCATATTTTGGCACCCCAACTCCCTGGTCATTTTAAATCTAGGGAAAGCTTTTTGGGGGACAAAAAAGTATTATTTCTATGGAACTTTGAGAACTGAAAAAATGGCTCTGGGGGCTGCATTTTTGCCACTCCTGGCATAGAGGCAGAGCAAGACTTTTAACGCCAGTCATAGCTGACTGTTTGGTGTGGAAAGGAAGGGGATGTTAGAGTAAAGAATTAAAGAGAGCAAGAGACAAAGCCTTCCAATGGAAGGAGAATTGGGCTGCAACTCTTTTCGTGGTCCTTTCCCCTCCTTTACCTGTAACCATCTAAGGAACATTTTGAAGAGAAGATGTGAAAATTGCTATTTTACTGGGAGGTACCTTTGCCGTCCAAGAGGACGAGTGACTTTCTGGTTGCACTGCGAAGGAGAATGGTTCAGTTTTTCTTTTATTGGGCTCATTTGTGCTTGATGAAATACAAGTATGTCTTGTTATTCTAGGAGCACCAGGTCAGAAGAAAAAAGCCCATCTGCTAAGAAGGAAACTGCTCCCAACAGCTGCATTGCCCAGAAAGAGAATGAGGGTTACTCCACAGTGGAGGCTCCGTGGGCACAAGGCTCTCCATTCAGACTCTCCGATCACCTGTATCCAGACGAAGTTTTAGATGACTTGACCATCTCTCCCTATGCCAGCTATACCTCATTGTCGGAGCGGCCATCCACTGTGCTCATTGGCTGGCTAGACAAGCTCTCTCCACAAGGGTAAGTGGATAGTTGTATAGCTGGAAAGGACTAAAGAAACACATCTGAGTTCTGAATAAAAATGAATGAATTGTTCATACCATGAAAACGTTGGAAATCAGACAAGGTAAAACCACAACAAACACTGAAATAGGAACAGCAGCAAAAAGTTGACACTTCTGCTTTAGCACATGGTAAATGAAAAGTTCTTGGTTAACAATTCCACACCCACACACCCACACCAGGTTGGTTTATTTTTAGAAGAATAAATTCAGAGGATCACACTTGCCTAGCAGCTGGGATTTCAGGTCAGAAGCCCTCCCTGCTGTGAGCACAGGCTGTGGTCCCTTTTGCGAAAGAATTGTGCTCAGTACATAATTAAAGCATGGCAGCACAGGTTAATCATTAAATTAATTCACAGAAGTGTCCGTGGAATTATTAATAAGAGTAAATTTCAGCTAGGCATTAGAAACACAGCTTATTTACTTTTTGGATATATTTTAGATCTCATGTAGAAAAAAATATTATGTTTAACAATGTCCTTTCCTCCATATAGGAAGAAGAGTAGTAGTGGTAGTAGTAGTTGTTGTTGCTAAAATTCATGTTATATGTTAATGTATTCAATGAACATTTACTCCCAGCAGAGGGGGCCATCTGGAATGGAGATGCAAGAATGATTACAATACTTTCCCTGCCTGCAGTTCCCTACAACAATACTTTACTCCAAATTGCCCCCACTTTTGCTTAAGAAGAGTGACTATTATAAGTATTTCTGAGTAACACATACCTAAATACTCAGGCTGTAATTTCTAGCTTTTAAAAAAATCAAACATGTTTAGATTTAATATTTTCATTTATTTCAATTGTCTTTTAATTGAAGAATTCACTGGTAAAACTTGGCTGATCAAAGAAGTAATTAATCCGGTGTAAACTGTGAGTAGGGAAGGCAAATCTGTCAGTTCTGTTTTCTTACATGTCCTCATTTTTTAAAATTGTGTTAAATTCTGATCAAAATCATAATCAGACTTACTCTCATCCACTCCTACTTGCAAGACACACTATTCTAAGGACCTCATCATATGAGGCTTGGGCTCCATCCTAGGATGCTTCCAAGACAGATCCAAGACGGAGCCCAACAGAGCCCATCACATGATGGAGATCCATCCTGGAAGGAGCCTAACATGGAACCCAGAGTACACAGGGGGCTTCCTTTGTTCTCATTGGTTAAAATGGAACCAGCATGGGGGAAGCCGGGCAGAGGCACTTTCCCTTGTGTGATGGGGAAAATGGTTTCCCCTATGGCCCCATGGAGTCACCATGCTGCCTGACAAATCCTCCCACTGTCATCCACGTTTGGGAGCTTAATGTATGAGGTCCCAGGTCTGAAACTCTTTAAAAGATCCAGGATTGGATGCTCTGACTGATCTTTCATGAGCCCCTTTTGGGCAGAGAGATTTCTAAGTGGAAGGATCTGAACTTAATGTACTCCCCTTTCATCCTTGATAGGAATTACGTCTTCCAGCGACGCTTTGTCAGATTTGATGGAAAAAACATCATGTATTTTAACAATGAGAAGGTAGGAGCGGAATTCTTCTTGCTGAACACTGTATTTTGAAGTGCTGGGAGCTAAAGAGATAGGTGGCTCAAAGAGAAGAAAAGGAGCTGGGAAAGCAGTGTGGGGTCTGAATCAATTAAAGAAGGAAAGGGGAGCCTACCTAGCATGGAGAGAAAGTATAATAGTGGAGGGGAAGTCTCAGCTTTATGCCTCCAAGCATGCCTTGAGTGCATGATCCTGAGAGCTTTGCTCACCGCACCCTCAAAAGAAAAGAGTTAAAGTTAGATTATCAATTTATCAGTTCTGTCTCATAATTCAATGTGGAAATGTTAAAGCTCATCTCCTTTTTTGCTTGGCTCCTTTCAGGAGCCGTATCCTAAAGGAATGATCCCTCTCACCATCATTGATATGGTGCGTTCCACCAAGGACAGCAAATTCCAGGTTGTCACAAAGCACAGGATCTTTGTCTTCCGGGCTGAAAGTGAGGGTAAGAAATCCCATCTTGAATCAGTTCATCCTTCCCTTTTCATTAATCCAAGTCAGTAGTCCCTCTTTCCTTGCCCGCCATTCTGTCTTTTATTTGTGTCTCTTTTTGTCATGTTCTTCCTATGCAGAGGTGGGAAAGTATGAGGAGAAATCAGTTTTCCTTGTGAGTCTACAAATATTGCTTCTGCCACGTGCAGTCAAAAATAATGGTCTGAAGTATCTTTCACCCTCTGACCTTTTGCTATTACCCCCTGCAGCACAGCGGGAAGAATGGTGCAACACTCTTCAGCAGAAGGTGACTGAGCAGCGAATGCTTTGTTCCCGGCCATGCCTTAGTGGCAGTAACAGCCGCTTTCAAAAGTTTGGCTACCTTGAATTGAAAGGCTACAAGTCCAAGGTTTTTGTGGTGCTCATCCTGGCAGAGATGTGGCTATACAAAAGTGAGCAGGTGAATGCCAGAGCTTTTCCACACTTCTTTCTCCCTTTTCAGAAATGCACACTTGGCACTGAGACATACAAAAGATGACTGTGATTCTCCAGCTTCTCAGATTCACAGAAATAGAAGTTAGTGACATTTTTTGCAGTGAGATTTCCTTGTGGACAGAATCAGAGAGGAAAGAGACCAACTCTCCTTTGCTCTAGGAGTAACAACGTTGTATGTGGCTTTGACTAAGGATAGAAAAGGGGCAAGGATATGTCAGCATTGGCCTGAAGACACACTGATTATTTGCAGTCCCTATATGCCTGGAAGATCACAGCCAGCAGCAAATATAGATTCTTTTTACTGTTTCCCCTCATTCTTACATCATCTTCTATTTCCTAGTAGAAAAGTACAGAGAAAATTGTATGTTGCAATGCTTTTCTGGGATATTTTGCTCAGGGATTCCATGTCTAATGGGAGTATCATTGTAGTTATGAGTTGAAATTGAATAATCCTTGTCCATCTATGTCCTTCAGTTCTTTAAGATGGGTATTGCCATATGCCTGATTGAGATGCATAGCACCACCATTCGAGAAGCCAAAGGCCGCAGCTTTGAACTCATTACCCCATTCAAGATCTTCAGGTAATACTCCAGAGTGTACAAGAAAGTAGTGCATTCACATTGAATGCTATTAGATGCAGGACAGGACCATCACTAAGGCTAGGAATAGGAATCCTTGACCCCTAGCCCAAGAAGCTGGGCCAGTTTTCTATTTTCAGATGGGAGAAGTTCCTGGGAACCATAGAAAACACAATCCAAGGAACCCAAATATGGGAGATGCATCAAGCTTCCACTCCCAGTGGTGAAGGCTCTTAGAAGGAGCTAAATGACAAGTTGCTGGGGCTCCAATCACTTTTCCCATTGGGAAATGAGAACTTGTGTCAAAGGCTCCTTGGGCCTTTGGGCCACAGAGACACTTGGAAGGGGCTTCTCTTTCCATTCTAAGAAACTCAACAAAGTTGCTGCCCCATTCCTTGCAGTTAGTATTTCCAGTAAGAAAAAGAGCTTGATCCACGGTCCCCTGTTCAATTTCCTGGGGGAAAAAGAACTGTTTCATGCTATGGTCCTCTTCATAGCCTTGGGGAATGGGATTTGGTGGTAGAGGTATGGGTGCTAGAAGAAAGCTCTAATTTAAGGCTGAGAACCTACAAAAACCTGAAACAAATCTGGAACCCCACTCATTCAGGTTTATTATCTCAGGACACAACAGGGGATGGAAGCAGTAAGAGACAGCACAGAAGAATTGCAGTTTACTTGGAGTACTAAAACCAGATCTTTGAATTTTAATACACATATATACACATATTCGTCATTCACACTCTTTGTTCATACATTCAGCCCTGAAACAATTAGAGCATATTCAAGCTTTAAACACTTCAGGCAGATAGCTTATGATACTAAAGTGTGGTTGCTGTTTGCATTCCCTCAGTTTCGTTGCCGAATCTGAACGAGAGAAGAGAGAGTGGATGGAGGCCCTACAGAACTCCATTGCAGAAACACTCTATGACTATGAGGTAGCTGAGAAGATCTGGTCTAACAAAGCGAACCGGTTCTGTGCTGACTGTCATGCTCCGAGTCCCGACTGGGCTTCTGTCAACCTGTGTGTGGTGATCTGCAAGCATTGTGCAGGCAAGTGCCTTCATGTGCTGTTAGGCAAAAATGAAGGTGGTGTGGATGAGGACAGTGGCTGGTGGGTCAATGGTAGGTATTTTGAAACTGGAAACAGACCCTAAATATCAGATCACAAACAAACTTTGGGAACTTCTATCAGACTTAGTTGAGTTCCTCTGACTGGAATAGCCATATACTCTAGAAATTTCTATTTTTTATTCTGATGTAAATGAGTGGCTGTGTATTAAGAGCTCAAGAGCTGTTTCCATGACTGCTGCAGAAGTCTGGAGGCAGCTGAATTATTTGTCTTTCAAATGAAGTTTATACTCACAGCCTCACTCCTTTCACAGGTCAGCACCGAAGTCTAGGCTCCAGCATTTCTAAAGTGCAGAGTCTGAAGCTGGACACAAGTATCTGGAGTAATGAAATGGTTCAGGTATGAAGCCTGTCTCCAAGGGGATTGGGAGGAGATGGGCCCCATGTCAAAAGCTGTAAAACTCAGTAAAAGGTAAAGGTTTTCCCCTGACATTAAGTCCAGTCTTGTCCGACTCTGGAGGGTGGTGCTCATCTCCATTTCTAAGCCGAAGAGCCGGCGTTATCCATAGACACCTCCAAGGTCATGTGGCCAGCATGACTGCATGGCTGGAGTAGCCAATTTCACTATGTAACACAATTTTTGTCCCTGGGTTGTAAATGTCATTTCCTAATTGGTTCTGTCATAAAAACATGAAAAAATGTTCATTTAACTGCAAAAACTGTTTTTGCGAGACATCCTGTAGCACATTTTGCTATAGTTTTTCAATGAATATCTCATAGACACTGAACCAATGCAACATAATTTGTGGCAGTCACAAAAACAACGTTTCTGGAGTATAACAACTAGTTTCAAAATAAGTACCACACAAACAGGGAATTACTTTTTCAAACCAGGAACAGATTTTTTTTTCAAATTTTGTTACATTGTGTTTTGAATGGGGATCTTTGGGGGTGTAATACTAATATTATGAATGATGTATTAGTATTATGCTAATAATATAGTATGTTTTATGTAGATATGACTTGTAAGCCGCTCTGAGTCCCCTTCGGGGTGAGAAGGGTGGCATATAAATGTCATAAATAAATAAATAAATAAATAAATAAATAAATAATAAATCTGAGCTCACTTCTCCATATTGACTCATTCTGATGCTTTGGAGAAGGGTCTTCTTCTAAAGATCACAAGAGCTCCAGTATCAACAAAGAATTTGTGGCCCATTAAAAATGAACAATTTTTATTTTCATAAGCTTCCATGAACTCTCATTCGCTTCATCAAATGCTGGTTACCATATCTCTTAGGAACATTGCCAGGTCACTCCATCTCTCTCCTACAGCTGTTCATCATGCTGGGAAATGAACAAGTGAACAAATTTTGGGAAGCGCACCTCCCACCTTCTGAGGCCTTATACCCAGATGCCAATGCTGAGCAGAGACGAAATTTCATCTCTTGCAAGTACCGCTATGGACGTTACTGTATGCCACATCCACACTACAGCAGCCAGGAAGACATTTTGCAGGTATGGTTGTGATGTAGTTCTTTATGAACTGAGCAATCAGGAGGCACTATAAATTAACTGCTTCCCAAATGTGCATCATGTACAATGTCTGCCTCCTTAATCTTGCACCTGCACAAGCAGGAGTGTAGAGGCCATTCCCCATCCTGTGAATACACCATTCCTAGTTAAGCAGTATCTGGAAGCCTTTTGGCATAACTTTCCAGCCATCTTTTTCTTAGGCATTGTGTTCAGCTGTGTCTGGGCCTGGACTGCTAAAGACAATGTTGCTGTTCTTTGCATCCGCCATGGAAACAGAGGTGGGACCTTGTGGCAACACTGTGGAAGCCAAGCCATTGTGCAACAATGGCCAAGGTCAACAAAGCAGCTCCCCAGGTAACTGTCTCTTTCTCTGTTTATCTCTTTCTTTATTTATGAGAGGGAGAAGAACTCTTTCCTTGACCACACTCTTTTAATTGTATCCAATTTTTCTGATTAATATTCCAACAAATTGTTACTATAGAGTCCCAAATGAGCCTCTATGTTTTTAATTTACATTCATTTTCATTCCCATACAACATTGGCCTCATTTATTAGTCTCTTGTCAAAGTCTTTATTCTCTGGACCTAGGTTGTCATCTTTTTTTTTTTTTGGTGGGGGAACCTTTCTCCTATATCTTTTATTTATAATCGAGTGAATGGACGCTCAAAACTGGCTTCATTGTGTGCTTAGCATCTTTTTGAGAAGACACTGGTCTTTTGCCTCCACATTAAGGTCCCAGTGTCAATCTCTAACCTATTTTAGTCTAGTGACATATTGAATCTGGTCCTAACAGGTGAAATGCTCAGAAAGCCCTGTCCTTCCTTTCTGTATGATGGAAAGGAACCCTTTGCCACTCTCTTTCTGAGAGCAGAACGAAAGTATGGAGGGCCAATTCTGCATGATAAGAAAAGGGAGTACAGGGATCGAGCCCCATGCTGTCTTGAGTTATATACTTAGAACAATAGAGAAAGAGTTCAGTTGCCATCCCTCCTCTATCTTGCCCCTTTGGCCTGTCTGTCGCATGACCATCTGCCAAAGCTGCTTTGATTCTTTATTACTAGATGGCCCCTTGGTCTCCTCCAAGTCAGTAACTGTTTTTGTCCAAAGTATGAGGACTAGGAGACAGAAAGCTAATGAGCTGTGTTGTGCATTTGACAGGCAATGTTGGGGTGGAGGATCTGAGCCCAGAAGGAGTCTACAATGAGGTCACACAACCCATTGCCCATTCTGGCTATCTGTACAAGGCTCCGGCCGTGACAAAACTCACAGTGATCAAGAAGAGCAGAGAGGGTAAGTACCAGGTATGAATAGGACTCACCACCTGTGAGTAATGCTGAATCTGGTTGATGGGCCCTCTCTCTTTTGCTCTCATGTAGAATTTCAGAGAGTCTGGTGCTCACTGGAGAAGTCTTTTCTCTTCTATGATACTGATAAGAGCTCCGAACCACTGGCAAAGATAGAAATGGTTGACGTAATTTCACTTGGTGTGAACAGAACAGAGGTGCAGGCTAATCCTGGGTCCTCAGACAGGTAGGTACATGACATGACCACTCCTCTTCCCCCCCCCCCCCACCTCCCCCCCTTTAGTGGCTTTCTGCCAAAATAAGGTCATCTTTACATATCTGCTTATCCTCAAATTCCCCGAGAGAGAAACATGTGACAACCTAGTCTGTGCATACCATAAGCTTCAAAAATTTCAAAACCTTTTAACTTTTTCCATGTTATAAAAAATATCTTTAATATCTCACCCGAGAGCAGTGAACTGAGGTATAATCTTGCCAGGTATCAAGTTCACCTTGGGGATGCACTGATGGTTGAGTCTAATGTTGGATCTGTGTGAGTGGGTCAGTGGCTTTATTTTTATATATATGTTTTATGAGTTGATTGCGTACTAATTACAAAAATTAAACACTGTCAGTTTGATATCAATTATTCAAGATGAAAAACAGAAGTACTTCAAGTTCTATATAAACAGAGAGCAATGACACTAATCAGGGTGGGGAGAGAGATAGCCAGCAATGAGGGGTGGGTGTGTGGCCTCGAGGTCGACAATCCAGAAATAACTTCATATTTTGAAACATGCATACTTCCAATCCAAAAATCCTTCTTGGAAGAGAAACAAAAGGAAAATCGTCCCACAAATGTGTGGGGAGAGGCCTTTGAAAATCTTGGGATATCTTGGGTTTTATGCAACCAGGGGCGGCTCAATCCATTACGCAAAGTAAGCATTTGCAGTATAGCTGATTTTGCCCAGGGGCGCTCTTGAGGCGCTCTTGGGGGAAAATAGACCTTGACATATGCAAGTTGTAGTTACTGGGATGTATAGTTCATCAAAGAGCATTCTGAACTCCACCAATGATGGAACTGAACCAAATATGGCACACAGAACTCCCACGATGAACAGAAAATATATATCAGTGATTGGTTGGGGGGCGGGTGCCAAAATACTGTTGCTTACCCTTGAAAATTACCTAGGGCCGCCTCTGTATGCAACCCCTTGAGGTTTGGGGAAGGTGTTTGCAGCTCCCATCGCTCTGGAAGCGGCCCTCCCCGTCATGAGCCCAAGGGGAATCTTGAAAGCATTCTTCCCCCAGGGAACTCTTTCCCAAGGCTGGTTCTGCTTCAATTCCTTTTCATTTTTTTAAAATCCAACTTATCACAGGACTGAATTGGTCTGTTGTGCCTGTAGCAGGAATATGTAGTACTGGTAGTTGAAATCTCAAGATACAAACAATATGCAACTGTATGTGTGTGCAAGAGGAGAGAATTCTATACTAGGAAAAGAGTAGAAAGGTACCTGATGGAAAACCCAAAAAACAATTTTCCTCTAATCTCTCCTTGCACCACTTCCTGTTTCATGTACAAATGTTCTCCCATCCCTGGTATTTTGAGACTCTAGTATAAAGATATCAAGCTGATAATCTGGTGCATAGATCCAAGCTTCATGGGCTGGTACCGCACTTCTACTTTTGCTCCAGCCATACACAGGGCCCTGAATTAACCAGGCCTTGGATCCATTCCTGAAAAGGCTTTCCTGTTATTGTTCCTGAAAGCTCATCATCATCATCATCATCATCATCATCATCATTGTTATATGTGTTCATATCCCACCTTTTCCCAGCTGTGGTGTTCAAAGGGTAATAGAAACCTGAAAGCAGATGCAAATAAAGATTTGCATTTGTGAAAGCATACAAAAGTTAAAATAAAATTAAGTTAGCAATAGAATTCAAAACAACTATTTTATTTATCATGTCAGAAGCAAGTTGAGGGTACAGTTAACATGTATTTAAAAACATAAAGTTTTAAAACTTGGCATTATGTTAAATATCCTTTGACCAGAAGCTGGCCACTTGGAGTGCTTCTGGTGTCGCTGTGAGAAGGTCCTCCATTGTGCATGTGTCAGGGCTCAGGTTGCATTGTAGTAGGAAGTCTGTGGTTTGGTCTTCTCCACACTCGCATGTTGTGGACTCCACTTTGTAGCCCAATTTCTTAAGTTTAGCTCTGCATCTCGTGGTGCCAGAGCGCAGCCTGTTCAGCAACATCCAGGTCGCCCAATCTTCTGTGTGCCCAGGAGGGAGTTTCTCATCCGGTCTCAGCCACTGATTAAGGTGCTGCATTTTAACCTGCCACTTTTGGATTCTCACTTGCTTAGGAAGCTGTTTCTCGATTTAAGATGTAGGCATGCTGGCTGATATTCGAACAGGGGATGGGCTGGAGATGTTACTGCTTTGGTCCTTTCATTATTGGCTGCAATTTCCTGACAGATGTCAGGTGGTGCAATACCAGCTTATCAGTATAATTTCTCCAGTGGTGTGGGGTATAGACATCCTGTGATAACGTGACATGTCTCATGAAGAGCCACATCCACTGTTTTAACGTGGTGTAATGTATTCAACACCAGGCATGTGTATTCAGCAGCAGAGTAGCAAAGTGCAAGGGCAGATGTCTTTACTGTGTCTGGTTGTGATTCCCAGGTTGTGCCTTCAGCTTTCGTACGATATTATTTCTAGCACCCACTTTTTGCTTGTTATTCAAGCAGTGCTTCTTATGAGTCAGAGCATGGTCCAGAATGACCCCCAGGTATTTTGGTGTGCTGCAATGCTCCAGCAGGATTATTTCCCAGGTAATCCACAGAGCTTGAGATGCTTGTCTGTTGTTAAGATGAAATGCACACATCTGCATTTTGAATAGGTTAAGAATCAACTGGTTTTCCCTGTAATAGGCAATAAGAGCACCTAAAGCTTCGGAGAGCTTCTGTTCAACCATTTCAAAGCTCCCTTCTTGAGCAAAACAACTAAAATATATCTGTTAATAAGCAAGAAATAAACTCCTTTCTGCATTAACCATCTGTTTCCAAAGGGCTATCAAGCCTTTTTTATAAGGAAGAGGGTAGTTACGCTGGAAAAATATATAAATAATCCTCTATTTTCTGCACTGGGTTCTGAATTGAATCTTTGTAAGGCATTTCCATATCCTTTTGCAGGATCAGGATCTCAATTCTTCCTTTCCTTGGTTCTTGTAGTTCCTAAATTGCTGGAACACATTTTTCACAGTGACTCTTAAGAGACAGTTTTGTCCAAACACTATAGGGAATAACTTTCATCCCTGAGACCAAATAAAAGTTTCTTTCTCCTGCTTGATATTGATATGACTCCATTAACTTCCAAAATCAATATCAAGCAGGAGAAAGAAACTTTTATTTATTGATTGATATGACTCCATTAACTTCCAAAATAGGAGCCCCCGGTGGCGCAGTGGGTTAAACCCTTGTGCCGGCAGGACTGAAGACCGACAGGTCGCAGGTTCGAATCTGGGGAGAGGCGGATGATATCCCTCTATCGACTCCATCTCCTCATGCGGGGACATGAGAGAAGCCTCCCACAAGGATGATAAAAACATCAAATCATCCGGGCGTCCCCTGGGCAATGTCCTTGCAGACGGCCAATTCTCTCACACCAGAAGCAACTTGCAGTTTCTCAAGTTGCTCCTGACACAACCAAAAAAAAACTTACGAAATGTTTTGGCTCTCTTAGTGGATAGCCAGTGCTATAGCCACAATGAATAAGTGAGTCACTATCATAACTGTCTTACAGAATGAGAACCAAGAGAACATTCCTAGCTGAAATGACTGATAGTACAATTTAATTGTAGCAAAAACAATAATAGTTTTTTCTAATGGAACCTGAAAGACTTAAACGTTTTATTTGGCATAAAGTTTATGAAGTACATAAAGTGAAAAGAGTTAATGTTTTAAAAGATTTCGGGCCACTTTTACAGTTAAAGAGGCAACCACCCTCAATTTAAAAAAATACCCACGAAAGAGTGAACATTATTGCTTGTTTACCATTCATGGTGAGGTGTGGCATCTTAGAAGATTTCCTCCTTTGAGACTTGTATCCTCTGTTCTAATTGTAAAAGATAGAAGTTTGAAACCTAAATGCAATTGTTCATTCCAACTAGAATGCATCTATTAAAGCAATGATTTAATGGATGTACTTTGCCAGAGACTAACAATTAGATGTAAGCTTTAGGGTTTATCTAGGATGTTCAAACATAAAATAAACAGGAAGAGCCAGCTAATTGGTGTAGATGTCTGTTATTTCATGTGTGGAACCAGGAAGAAGCTGGGCACACCCTCAAGCTGAGGAATGCTCAATGAGTACTCTCCACATTTTACCTCTGTCTTAACTTTTAATTGTTTCTTCTATTATGATCCCTAATCCTGATACAAGAAGGGGATTATCAGGATAGCATACTTGGAGTTAATTTCCATTTCTTCCTTGATGCGACCCTGTTAAGGAGGCTAAGATTATAGTGACTATCCAGTGAGATCCAGAGCCCCTTCCACACAGCTGTATAAAATCTAGATTATATTGCACTGTGGACTTAGATATTACAGTTTAAAGCAGATATTGCAGATTGCCTGCCTAGATATTCTGTGTTATATGGCTGTGTAAATTTACTTAGGTGATCCCTCATAGGATTATGGTCCTCCAAGGTCGGTGTTCTGGCGGTGGGTCCATAGGTGACTGTGGAGCCCTATTCTTGACCTGCATGTTTTCCCACAGTGAGGGCATTGGTTTCCAGGTGGAAGGCGGTCCCAGTCGGGGTTGGCTTAACGCACCTTCCTCTTGGCCCGTTTCTCTCTTTTGCCCTCCATTCATGCCTCTTCAAATTCTACAGCACTGCTGGTCACAGCTGACCTCCAACTGGAGCCTCAAGTGCCAGAGCTTCCCAGTTCTCAGTGTCTATGCCAGAGTTTTAAAGGTTGGCTTTGGGCCCATCTTTAAATCTCTTTTCCTGTCCTCCAACATTCCATTTTCCGTTTTTGAGTTCGGATTAGAGCAACTGCTTTGGGAGACGGTGGTCGGGCACTCGGACAACATGGCCAGTCCAGCAGAGTTGATGGCAGAGGACCATTGCTACAATGCTGGTGGTCTTTGCTTCTTCCAGCACGCTGACATTTGTCCGCTTGTCTTCCCAAGAGATTTGCAGGGTTTTTCGGAAGCAGTACTGGTGGAATCTTTCTAGGAGTTGCATGTTGTAGTGAAACTGACCTTTTTGGCAGGAAGGCCGAAGCCTGGAAAGTCAGTAGCTGACATGTTCTGGGTTAGGCAAGAGAGCCAGAGGCAGGAGGGAGGAGTCAGCCGACTCCTGATTGGTTAGGACAGTCAGGGGTGGAGTTAGGATTTAGAGGGGAAAAAGCCTGGCTTATTTGAAAAGTAGGAGAGTTGGAGTTTAGACATCGTGGAGTAAAGACGTATATTTTAGAGAGAGAGAGCTGTGAAGATCTTAGGCAGGGAGGGAAGACTTTTGTGTAAGCCTTGAGAGTTAGAGCAAGGGATAGGCAAAGGATCCTGGTTCACTGGTCAGAGTAGAGACAGTGAAAGGGAAGCCTGATTTGCTCTGGGAGGCAGTTTGTGTACTGTGCTCAAAGACACACTGTGTCAGTTAGTGATCAGTGTGGGGATAAGGAACTCACTGTGAAACAAAAGTTGAAGCCTTTAAGTAAGACTGCCTGTTTAAAACCAGCTAAGCCTCAAGAAACTGAACTGCATCAAGATTATTGTACCACTCTTTTTAAGAGTTGATCTGTTTATCAAGTTCTAAAATAAACCTGTTTCTTATTTCACCTTCAAATTGGAGTCTGCCTCAGTCTATTACAACCTTTACATCTCAGCTAACTTAAAGAAGATTGCTCTCAGTCCAGTCAGCAAAAGTAGCAGTGGTTAACGAAGAACAAAGAGCTTAAATATAACTCTTCCTATTTTCACATTCACACATATGGTTTTCCTCAGACCTATTTAATTGTGGTGGTGGCAGTGATTTAACAAATACATCGGTCTGAAACTACATCCCAGTTGGTCACTTAATAGATAAATTACCAAGGTGGGACAAGAGAGTCTTTCCCCCCTTGTTGTAGTTAAATATCTTTATTTAAAATCGTGTCCAGCTGAACGATAACCCTGTAAGCTGTTGGGCAGTGGGAGAGATTGCTTGTTCTCCCTTGCCAAGGTTTACGTTGATTCCCTATTATACATTTATTTATTTATTTACTCTATTTGTATACCGCATATATCAGCCTGAGGCGGCGACTCAATGCGGTTTACAATAAAAAGCAACACTAAACAATGTATGAGACACACAATACAGACAAACACATAATCATCAACGCCACACTTAGAATCAGATTCCGATCTCAAGATCCTTTTTCCATTCCTTGTCCGATGCCGTCATTATTGAGTTAGTTGCCTCACAGGCGTATAGCAGGGTTGGGAGGACAATAAACAAGCACCTTGGTTTCCCTATGGATGTCCCGGTCCTCAAAGACTCTCTGCTTCATTCGGAAAAATGCTGCACTCGCAGAGCTCAGGAGGTGTTGAATTTCAGTGTCAATGTTGACTTTTGTGAAGAGGTGGCTGCCAAGGTAGTGGAAATGGTCAACATTTTCTAATATTATACCCTTAAGCTGTATTTCTGGCATTGGAGAGGGATTGGCTGGTGACTGCTAGAAGAGCACTTTGGTTTTATCAATATTCAATGACAGGCCGAGCTTCTCGTATGCTTCTTTGAAGGTATTTAGAGTGGCATTTAGGTCTTCTTCTGAATGCACACGGATGACATTGTCATCAGCATACTGGAGTTCTATAATAGATGTTGTTGTAACCTTGGTTTTGGCTTTCAGTCTGCTGAGATTAAATAGCTTGCCATCAGTCAGATAGGTGATTTCCACTCTGGTGGGAAGATGGAAAATAAAGTTGGGGCAATAACACATCCCTGTTTGACACCTAATTCCACCTTAAATGGGTCACTTTGGGAACCATTGCTGTCCAAGGCTGTGTAGAAGAGCCATAATATAGTTGGGAAGTACAATAATCATGAACAGGGCCCAGAGAGCCTCATGCATCAGGAGGGAACTGAAGTCAGATCTTTCTGCTTCATATTCTGCACAACTGTCACTATATTACTGTACCCAATGTGCCATTTCTCCTAATGTTCTTTTGCATAAATGTAACCTATGCAGGTTTTGTGAGTTATTAATATTTATTGAGAAAGGTTGCTTTTCACTTTAATTAAATCCCACAAGATTCCTGTTTGATTATGTTCCAGGTTATGATCAGTTTAATTTTTAAGAAATAATTACTGGGACCAGTGAATTAATTTGAAGTGTATTGTCCACAGTGAAATAGATTCGTAAATTAGCAAATCAGCAGATTGGTTTCACCCTTAGGGGACAACAGGAGACCCTTTCCTTCATAATGTGTTTGTAAACTTCTGGCAAATTGCTGCAGGAATCAGGTTATTGTGATAGATTGACCAGAGCTCTTTCTAATGTTTTCTGTTCTCCCTTCTGTCCATGACTCCACAGTGCACCTAAAGACCAAATTGAGTGAGACACAGGAACACTGTGCTTGCATCTCTTTTCTCCAGACATCCCAGTGAGGATGGAGTGGAATTGGAACTGGGGCCGTGGTGCTGTGTGGCAGACGTTTCCTCTTATGCCTGCACAATTTCCCCAGTCTAAATTATTCCATGAAAATGGTGTTTGCCTTGCAGGGGAGAATTGTGACCAGCAGCAAAAAATACTGACTAAGGGAGATACTCTTTATTAGGAAATAATGTGAAGTAGAGAGAGAGGAAGAGATAGAATGCTGGGGACTCATGTCTTGTCTGTGTAAAAGTATTGTCCTTACTTCATTAAGACCTCCACTCTCCATAAACCCTTTCTTCTATAAACAGGATCCACTTCACGTTGGAGCTATACCTGAGCAATGAACGAGTACAACAGCTGGAAGCTGATGGTCCAGATAGTCTGCAGTCCTGGGCCAGTGCCATTGGAAAGGTAGTAACAGGGAAGAACAGCCCTCTGCTACTAACCAAAAAGCACTGAGTTATTTGTGTACTTCGAGATCATAAGCATTGCTGCTCCATCTCTACTTTTACTGGCATCCAGAGGTCCCATTAAGTAATTCCACCTCTAGATTTTTGCTTACATTCTGGAAGGGATGGGAAGAATGGTCAACATTATTTATTCCTGGATGAAAAATAAGTTGTGAAACTCCATTAGAAAAAATTTCTCTCCATTAGGGAAATTTGTACAATATCCTCCTGCTATGCAGCACCATGAAATTTAGTGAGAGAATTATCTTATGGAGTAAACCGAGGGAAACGGTACCAAAAAACCTGTTTTCTGTTTTTAAAAAAGGTTACCTGTGCAGAAAAAACTTTCCTATACAGAGAACTGTTTCCATACAGAAAACAACTTCCTTTTGTTAAAAGAAACAAAAGACACATGCCCAAAAAAAACCCAAGTGATAATTCACAAAATAAGTTCTCTGCAACATTCCATAATGTCTGAAAACAAAGAAAATATTGGAGAAAGATATTTGTTTTTATTGCAGAGAAAGGGAAACTAGTTAGTTTTAGTTTTGACAGATTTGTTAATTATTTGTTCTCTTCTATTACTTCTATTTATCCTGTGTTGTGGTTGGGAATCATGCAATCCATGTGCCTTATGCACCACAATTACTCTGTTCATTTGTGCGGTCGCCCATGTACCGTCTAAGCTTCCCTAAGCACAAATCTTTTGCAACGCAAACACTCTTCTCTTGTTTTAATATTTAAAAACATTATAATAAAAGACCAAACAAACTAGAAGTGATATTCTGGTCATTCTAGTTCAGCCAAAAGGAAGTGGTGCAACCTGTAGGAATTCAGAGTGTGTGGAAAATGGTCCCCAGCCCCTCAACAGTAGCTTACTTATCCTATCTATAGATCCCCCATGAGTTAATGGCCCATTAATCCTACATGTGAGTTTCCTAGAGGCCTATGTCACCACATTTGTTTCTATACAATATTGCATCTTTTTGTCCTATGTATGCATTCTCTTGTCACCCAAAAGTAAGCCACATACATGGCAGTGTTTGAAATGCAGTGTTTCACTGGGCAACATTACAAAATATTCTGCATTTAGTTAGTCTCTGAGCTGATTTTAAAAGCTGTTTATACTACTGCTACATCTGTTCTAGTATTCATTTTTTTCCTCTAGGGTTTTTCTGTTCTGAATTTGAAAGTGTTTTAGATTGCTGCTTTAATTATGCAATATTAAATTGCTGCATTTAAAACTTATTTATATTTTAATATTCTGTTTGAGCCACCTTGGACAGCCTTTATGTCCAAAAATGTGGCATAAAAATGCAGCTAACAACCAATAATCACTCAAGTAATCAATATGCTCATTCCCTACTTCAATGTTTTGGCCAACGTTCTCAGGACCTGTGTGTCCATTTCAAGTGCCTCTCCAGATCTGACACTTCCTTCCATTGCAGTGGTTCACCCCTCTCAGTTGCCATTGCCTGCTGGGCTACGAATTCCAGAGGGTGGGCAGGCTCTGCTATAAGTCCATGTTGAATCCCAATCAGTGGCTGCAAGGTTTCTTCATCCTCCAGAAATCTCACCTTTTCATCTGCCCAGGGGAAGAGGGGGCAACGGAGGACAGCATCAACCTGCGGCAACTTCAGGAGCTCAGTGAGTTCAGTCTATCCTTACAAATTAAAGAAAGTTATGCTGGGGAAAATGGAAGGAAAAAGGAAGAGGGGCTGACAAAGGGCAAAACGGATGGATGGAATCCTTGAAGTGACTGGCTTGACCCTGAAGGAGCTGGGGGAGGTGACGGCCGACAGGGAGCTCTGGCGTAGGCTGGTGCATGAGGTCACAAAGAGTCGGAAGTGACTGAATGAATATACAATAACATGCCCACATGCATATTAGGCTATATTAGTCCTGTTTTCATTGCTTTCATTGATTCAGCTTGGGACCCCATCTGGGCTTGCACAAAGCTTATATCCAGCTTCTTCATTTTTTCTGTAGGTGTTGTTCCTCTTCCTGAAGGCACAGAGAAGAAAGAGATGCTGGTCCTGGTGGAGATGGGGAGGTGAGATGTGTGAGAAGAAGGGATCCTCAGAGAATCATACCAGAGAAGTCTCACTCCCCACACACTTTCTTTGTAAAGAGGCTGCTAGCAGGGTTGGAGTAATGAGAGATGACTCTCTCTGGGAAAGCTAAGTAGACCTATAGCCATCTCTCCTCCATCATATTGCACAGAAACTACTCCCACTCCCCATCCTAAGAGACTCTGCTCTTCAATCAGATAGGGACAGCACTCGTGCTGCTAAGTATTTAATGGGTAGTAGTGAGACAGGCTTGAGATACTGATGCCCCAATTTTTGCCCACTTCGCTTGGCTTCAGAACCGAAAAAGGAAGAGAGTTTTCAAAGTTTCCCTAGACAAAGAAATGCAGGAATCACTGATCTGGAAATAAATGCCTATGGAAGAAACGAGGTCTTGAACAATGAAATTCCAGTCCTTGCCTTCTTTGTCCTCTCCCTACTCTGCCCACAAATCATGCACAATAAGAATCTGATTGCTTTTAGCACCTGCTTGCTATTCTCCAAAATCTGAGACTTTGCCCATCATTAGGCAGGTACACTGGTAGTCAAACCCTGAAAGCACAGTAGACTGAGTTCAGCTTAGGCTATGCTGAGAAATTTGTTGAATGATGTGATGAGCCAGGCTAGTGTCTGCAGCTTTTGTAAGACCAAGTAGAACCCTATTGCCCCCGTATAACATTTGAACCTTTCTGAATTGTTTATTGTAGTGAAGGTCCCTGGTTATCTGCAGGAGTGTGAAAGCACAACAGAGAATAGGCTAGCTGTTCTTTTTCCTGAAAGTTACCACTATGAGTCAGAGAAATTCATTTAAATATGACCAAATGAGTTTGTGTAGGGGAGGAAAAAGACAATATGATATATCTGTATTGCAGAAGGGCAAGACATACTCAGGAGAAATCCAAATTTGTAGATGAACTAGTGAAATGGAGTTGACTGTAGTAGGAGCCAGAATATAGTTCTAGAAACACTGAGATTTGTAGGATGAATATTCTAGGGTAAGAAAAAGTGACATTATAGGGAAGGACTTCTTAAACTTTTTCCACACATGACACCTTTCTGTCGAACAATTTATTTCATATCGGTATTAAATAGGTATAAAAAAATCAAACATTTACTGATAATAAATCATCATTTGCAAGGCTTGCTAAGCAGACCTATTTTCCTTTTTGAATACAGCTGAAGTATTTTCTGCAGAGTCTGCTGTAAACACTGCATGTTGTTGCTAGCAGATTTGTGTAAATTAGTGGCATTCAGAAAATTTTTACTATAGCCAAATGTTTCATGACCCCAATATTAAGCTAATGGGATCTCATCTGAGGTCAGGACCTACTGTTTAAGAAGGAATGCCATAGAGATAGTAAGACCAAAAAATCCCAAGAGGCAGCCCCATTAGCAGAGGGCAGGAAGAAGCAGCTTCCCAGTGCTCCTTGTCCCACTCACTCTGTTCTTCAATTTTAGGACCTTCTGCCTTCAAGGAACATGCCGACTAGACTTCTCCACCTGGTGCATGGCTATTCAGGCTTCAGCCAGTGGCCAGGGGAATGCCTTGAGAGATCAGCAACTCAGCAGGAGTGGTATCCCCATCATTGTGAACAGCTGCATTGCTTTCATTACCCAGTATGGTGAGTGACTCAGGGCTTCCTCCTGTTTATTTATTTACTACATTTATATACCACAGCTCTCAGCCCAGGGGCAACTCGGAGCAGTTTACAATTGGTAATAATTCAATGCCACACAATTATAACAAATAATACCATCATAAAATACTTGCCTGCTCCGCACCCCTGCCTGCCAGCGGGAGGGCAATGCAAGCGAGAGAGGGCTTGCGCAAGGCCTTGCATGAAGGGGCCCTCACCTGCTCCACGCCCTTGCCTGCCGGCGGGAGAGTGATGCAGGCAAGGGAGGGTTTGCAGAAAGCCTTGCACAAAGGGGTCCTCACCTGCTCTGTGCCCCTGCCTGCCGGCAGGAGAGCAACGTAGGCAAGGGAGGGCTCACGCAAGGTGGAAGAGCTCACCTGCAAAGCCTGGCTGTTCCCCTGGCATGGGCTGGCAGCTACTTTGAGGAGGCGGAGGGGGTGGGGCCAACCAAGGTGCCTTCACGATCCCCAGAAAATGGCCCAGCGAACCCCCTGGGGGTCGCGACCCCCAGGTTGAGAACCGCTGATCTAGCAGCTATATGTCTGATTAGAACTGTGGTTCTCAACCTGTGGGTCCGCAGATGTTTTGGTCTTCAACTCCAGAATCATAACAGCTGGTAAACTGGCAAGGATTTCTGGGAGTTGTAGGCCAAAGCACCTGGGGACCCACAGGATTTGAAGGACATGTCCATCTACTCACTGATACTTATTCTCAAAGAAACAGACGGACACTTAATGCATTGGATCTTTGCCATCCCTTGACCCATTTTCAATCTAAGCACTGGTAACTACCACGTAGTTCTAGCTCTGGATTTTCCCGCAGGCAGAACCCCTAAGAAGAGATGTTCATCTAATATATCTGCTAGTGTCTGAGTTGGATAGAAGGCAGGCTGTGCTGCTTTGTTGATTGAATGCCCTTGGATCCCGGCATAGCAATTCAGTAGAATCCAAGTCTTTTGGTAGTACTATAAACTCGCTCTGGTTTGTGGCTCAGAGGCCAGTCTCAAATGGCCATTATATTGAGATCTAAATCAGTATGTCACTGGTCCTAAATTTAACATTTAAATTGTATACATCTTATTCTGAATCAGACTCAGCTCTTGTGCATTCAAAGCTATAGATTACTAGACATAGTCAAATATAATTGAAAGCAATATGTATGCATGGCTTATACTAGCTTGCCATGCAGTGGTATTTAAAGCAAAGCAATATTACAAAAATGAAGATCAAAATTCTGTTCATTGTGCAATATTGGATTCTGAACCTTTTTGGTTTAGCTTCTAAGAGAATAGCTATTTATAACAGCTGAAGGAGTCTAGATGTATTTGAATTAATCTGGCAGTCATTCCTAGATTTATATACCAATGGTCCTTCCACAGCAGGGCCCTTTAGTACTGCTGAGATGCCACTTTTTCACAGGCTTCTGAAAGCAGAATTAAAACAGTAGTTCAAAATGGCAGTTCATATAGCACTATATTACCTAGCTGTTCCCAACCCTCTCCAATATTTCTTGCAACTTTAATTAGAAACTCTCTGCTGGCATTTTGTCTTATAATTGCATTGTGAGAAGTTAGGCTATCACATTTTCTTTCATTACAGTAGTTTTAAAGTTGAGTATGGTCAAGGTGCTTCGGCCACCAACTGCATAGTGTCAGTGGAAGTTGTTTGCCCATCAAAATGTATATATTATCTGGGCATCTTCATATAGAGCAGGTAAGATTTCAGAGCTAATTGGATTACTGAAAAGTAAAATTACACAAGAGCGTCTTTTTTAGAAAGACTTTTGGTGGTGCTGTAAATGCTTAAAATATTCATCAAGCATATCATCTTGCCAAATAAAAGCCAAAAGTGAGAAGAAATACATATACAACTGAGTCTCCTCTGTATTTCAACCCTGGTTGTAGATTAATAGACAGAATAACTTGCTTTCATTCCCTTCACCAATCCAAGTGGATGTATCTGTTTGTTCCTCCTTTTCTTTCTCTCTCTGGGTATGTAAATTGGCTGATTTTTGTTCATTACTTTTAACAATATCTAGCAACAATGCTATATTTGATTATTATACCTTAAGCAAAATGTCAGTTGAATTGTCTAGACATTAAAGATGTTTTAAAAGGCTTGTTGTTGTTGTTCATTCGTTCAGTCGTCTCCGACTCTTCGTGACCTCATGGACCAGCCCACGCCAGAGCTCCCTGTCGGCCGTTACCACCCCCAGCTCCCTCAAGGTCAGTCCAGTCACTTCAAGGATGCCATCCATCCATCTTGCCCTTGGTCGGCCCCTCTTCCTTTTGCCTTCCACTTTCCCCAGCATAATTGTCTTCTCTAGGCTTTCCTGTCTCCTCATGATGTGGCCAAAGTACTTCAACTTTGTCTCTAGTATCTTTCCCTCCAGTGAGCAGTCGGGCTTTATTTCCTGGAGGATGGACTGGTTGGATCTTCTCGCAGTCCAAGGCACTCTCAGCACTTTCCTCCAACACCACAGCTCAAAAGCATCGATCTTCCTTCGCTCAGCCTTCCCTAAGGTCCAGCTCTCACATCCGTAGGATTTAAAAGGCTAGAAAGACCAAAAGAGTCATGTTAGATGTTGCTGCTGAAGCAGAAAGAGAGCTAGCTGGCTTCTATTACCCATTGCAAGTTATTGGGGGGTGAGATAAGCAATAAATATAAATCAAGAACTTTTTAGAAATCCTTGGCTGAAGTCCTATGCTGGGTCTCTCAGCTGTTTCTGTGTTTTGTTTTGGGTCCAAAGTATCTCCCCCAGAATCTTTTCTTAGGGTCTTATCACACACACTTCTCCCACACCTCTGACTTTCTTTGCCAACTGGTGCCTACAGATCTTACATGATGCAAGGTTTGTTTCATATGTATTTGTAGGCAAAGAATCTGCCACTCGTACTTTTTGCAAAATGGGAAACAATCAACTTTATTCATCCTTAATTTCTCCGTGCACACCATAAGTGTGGTTTTTTATGTGTGGTAGTAGACCCATCTGCAGCTTGTCCTTTGCTGGTGATGTGTCTTTCAGGACATGTTTTAAGGACAGTTTTTTCATCCCTTTGCTGAAATGGCCGATAATACATAAAGACATCAAGTAAAGCCATAAATATTTTTCCACTTCCCTGTTGTTGTTGTTGTTGTTGTTGTTTTATTTTAAATTCAGAAATATGAACAAAAATATGTTTTTACATTTCTCTGTTGGGACAGAGGTCACAAACCTGTGTTGTTGAGCAAGATCTGCCAATTTTTTTAAAGAAAGACAGTGATATAGGGCTTAAGCTTTTTCTACTCATGACCCCTTTTTACCGGAGCCCCCGGTGGTGCAGTGGATTAAACCCCTGTGCTGGCAGGACTGAAGACTGACAGGTCGCAGGTTTGAATCCGGGGAGAGGCAGATGAGCTCCCTCTATCAGCTCCAGATCCTCGTGCGGGGACATGAGAGAAGCCTCCCACAAGGATGATAACACATCAAATCATCCAGGCGTCCCCTGGGCAACGTCCTTGCAGACGGCCAATTCTCTCACACCAGAAGCGACCTGCAGTTTCTCAGGTCACTCCTGACACGACAAAAATAATAATAATATATATTTTTTAAAAACCCTGAGAAATATTTAAGGGAAGCCAGGGAGGCAAGCACACATGTGGGAGAGAAGGGAAGGCAACCCCCAACATATAGTTACAGCTCCCCAAATGGAATCTCAACCCATAGTTTAAGAAGCTGTGACAGGGGAACATCAGACAGAGAGGAGTCATAGAATCATCAAATCATGGAGTTGGAAGAGATCCCGTGGGCCATCCAGTCCAACCCCCTGCCAAGAAGCAGGAAAATAGCATTCAAAGCACCCCAGAGAGTCCTAGTCATCCCTCGGCTATGAGATAAGTCAAATGTCCATTATTTTATCTTGCATTCTTAAATGACAGGCTGCCTCTGTAAAAATGCATTTTCTGAGGTTCGAGTGGTAAGGTTTTTAAATCCACTGCCTGCCTCTAACGTAACTTTTTCTATCCATCAGGGCTGCAACATGAAGGCATATATCGGAAGAACGGTGCCAAGTCCCGCATCAAGCTTTTGATGGAGGATTTCCGTCGGGATGCCCGAAATGTTAAATTGCGCATCAGTGATAATTTCATTGAGGATGTGACAGATGTGCTGAAGAGGTTTTTCCGGGAGCTTGAGGATCCTGTCTTCACTACATACTTGCACCCACAGTGGAAGGAAGCTGCAGGTACTGTGCCGTTGTTTTGTATGCTGCCGCTTTATTTCCCCATAAAAGCAGCATTTAAGAACATTAGATATGATAACAACAACAACAACAACAATCCTTTCTCACTTTTCCTTGTGGCTCAAGGCGGGTAATATCAATGAAAACAAATAATCATCTAAAACATTCTATAAAATACACATATTAATACACATTTATACAAAATACATATTAAAATACACAGAACAAAGATTAAACATAAGACACAAGTTATGTTAAACCGGCTGGGCAGACCTGCTGGAAGAGATAGGTCTTCAAATGTGTTTTAAATGCCAACAGCTCATTCAGCTGTTGAATTTACCCATGGATACTCATGCTAAATTGAAAATTAATTTGCTAGTCATCAGTAGCATATTGACACCATGTTACTTTTAATTAAAAGAAGAAATAGATTGAGAAAAAAACACTCCGAAATAATTAATTCCAAAAATGAAATGTTACATCTTTCTCAAATGATTAAACAGATTGCCATTATAATAACCCAAATGACAACTCTTCAAACTATTTTTCATTAATGAAGGTGGATAATGAATTCATTTTAATGAATTATATCCAAGCTCCATTCCAGATGTTGTTGAACTGGAGCTCATCATCATCCACTCATTAATGGCTGCCTTGGATAGGAGTGGTAGAAGTCACCGTTAATCAACGTCTGGATGGCATCAGGTTGCCCACTTTGCAAACCTCCTTTCCTCCACTGGAATTGCTGTGGACACTTTTCCTCAGCTCACTCTGAAGTTTTTGTGAGCCATCAATTGCAGAAGTGATCTTCCAATACATTGTCTTATGAACAGATTTTCAGTTCACCTTTTGTTGTGCTGAATTCTCTGACTCTGATGCTGGAGGAATGATGAGAGGGGGCTACACTAAGAATAATGCTACTGTGCATGAGCAGCCTGTACCAACTCATGAGAGGGGATAGAAAGAACTGAACATCTCTCACAGGTAGGAAGTTCTTCCTAATGCTCAGGTGGAATCTCCTTTCCTGTAACAATGACTTCAAACTACAGGAAAGGAGATTCCACCTGAACATTAGGAAGAACTTCTTGACTGTGAGAGCTGTTCAGTAGTGTAACTCTCTGCCCTGGAGTGTGGTGGAGGCCTATCTTTGGGGGCTTTTAAACAGAGGCTGGATGGCCATCTGTTGGGGGGTGCTTTGAATGTGATTTTCCTGCTTCTTGGCAGGAGATTGGAGTGGATGACCCACGAGGTCTCTTTCAACTCTATGATTCTATGATGACAGTTCCTAGAATGAAGATCCCTTGCCAGCTGAGTCTTTCTCTCAATTGGATCCCTTGAGAACAAGGACAAAGACCTGAGACTGCATATATCAAACGTATGGTCTATAGCAGTGGTTCCCAACCTTTGTTCCTCCAGTTGTGTTGGACTTTAATTCCCAGAAATCCCAGCCATTTTACCAGATGTAAGGAATTGTGGGATCTGAAGTCCAAAAACTGGAGGACCAAAGGTTGGGAACCACTGGTTCATAGTTGCAAATAATACATAATAATATTTAGAATTAATCAACTATATCTACCAAAACTGAATTATTTGCTCCTTCCTCCCAGGAATCCTCCAGAAATCACAACAACTGGAAAAATACAAGGAACTGATAAACCACCTGCCCCACCTCAACCGCAGAACTCTGGCTGCTCTGATTGGCCATCTGTATCGGTTAGTCTGTCTTCCCCTCCTCAGTTTTTGCACAAAAAAGTCAGTCCTTTATGGCTAGAACTACTACGGCAGATGTTTTAATTAAAGCTAAGCTCATCTGTGATACACAATTTCAACAATGCCTCATCCAGATGGCTGATCTGGATGTTTTCATCTCAAACCATCCGGATTAAAATATGTGTGATATGTGTGTTCACAACAGCAGGAGGAATATCGAACTATGCAGAGTCAATTTCTTTTTTTTTCCAGATGTGTATACAGTTGAATTAAAGCATTTTTTTCACAGTCAGAATCAGATTTACTACCAACATCTGTCTTGTGAAACTTCAACCATGAGATGATAATCCTGAGTCACTTTTAAGATTCCAGCTGTGAAAAGATGATTTAATTCCACTGTTTATACAGTTTGGAAAAGTGTTTCCTTCTGTGATATAGAACTAGATAGACATTCAAAACTTCAGCAATTTTTATTTCTTTTAAGTAACATCTGAGAACGTAGCAGGTAGTAATTCTTTCCCTAGGGCTTAACTACAGACAGCCCAGGTTTCATTATCAGATCTTCCAGTGCCATTTTTAGTTATAAAAGTAGCCTATGGAGAGGACAAGACTGGCACTCGGAGGGGGTGGATTAATTGTTTCATTTCTCTTGTGGAAATCTCCCATGTAATGCTATTGGTCTCCATGGACACAGGCACACAAAAGGTAAGAGAAATATAGATTCCTGTCCTGTTTCCCCTTCACACATCATGTGGAAAGGATTAAATCTTCTTGTAATGTCACAGTCCCAATCCTGACTCTTCTCTCTGCCATTCAAATCACCTTCACATTATGGATGGACAAAGTATGCCCCACCCCACACTGCCTCAAATGGCCCTCAAAATAACTATCAGCCTTTGGGAGCATATTTTGATATTTCCGATCCCCTTCCTACTTGTTGTAAGTCTCTGGGGTCTTTTTTTCAAAACTGGATGTAGCTGTTTGGCTTCTACGGTGGATATTTGGCTTCTAACCCTTGTGGGGGGGGAGTGCAAACTTTTTTTGAGGTTCAAAAATTGAAGGATGGGAGAGAACAGCCCTCCATAGTTCTGGGAATAAGAATATAGCCCTTGAAAACTGTCTACTCCTGTTCTACACAGAATAACTGTCAGGAGTGGTTTGATGGTGTGTTCCTTCATGGCAGTGGGTTTGACTGAATGGCCCTTGTGATCTCTTCAATTTTATGATATTATGGGCCTCATCACATGAGGTGAATTAAGTGTCCTAGGATGCTTTCGGGACACTTCCTCTTCACTGACCATTGGACACAATCACACGATGTATGGTGACTACTGGCGGGCCCCATGGAGGAAGCATCCTGACTGCGGTGCAGAAGGCTTCCCTCAGAACACAGGAATCTTCCCATGTTCCATAGAAAACTACAAAGCCAAACCACCACGGCGATGCTTCCCCACATGTGATGGGGAAGCATCAGCTGTGGGTGAGTTGGATTATGGGGCACCGTAATTGCCCCACTGTCTTCTGATTTGCCATGGATGGGGCCGAATCATCCCACAATGCCTCATCCATTTGATGAGGTTTATAGTCACATCAAGATGACATATCACACATTCAATCAGGTTACCTCTTCTATACTCTTCCAACACACATATTCAGGCTATGCCTGGGAAGTGAATGTGCATGATCTGGAGATTAAGATACCAAGATTGCATAAACCTTTGAATACTATTCCTTCTCTTTGAATTACATATCCTCAAATCTTAAAAATATGAAAAACTGGGAAAATATGCATCCCTTCATGCTGTTCTCCAGCTTTCAAGCAAAAATATTGGGAAAGATGGAAGAGATTTCAGAGAATAGAAGGTCTCTGAGCAGGATCAGAGGGATGGACATCAGGGCATAAGGAGACATGGAAGATGTATGCAAATAAAAGTCCCAGAAGTCTACTGCTTGGAACTTTGCCATATACTGTGGCTCTTGTTGTCATGACATCTATTTTCTTTGGGCAGAAGACTGAAGTTTCCATGGTGTCTTTTCACCTCCCACAACAGGGTGCAGAAGTGTGCTGACCTCAACCAGATGACTACCAAGAACCTGGCTCTTCTATTTGCACCCAGCCTCTTCCAGACTGATGGGAAAGGGGAGCATGAGGTCAAGGTGATGGAGGACCTAATTGATAACTACGTCTACATCTTCAATGTGAGTTTCTTGTCCATTCACTCTGTGCCCCTTCCTGTCCTGCTCCACACAACTCTCCATTGCAGTGTGTTCACTGTACCTCCTCTTTTGACTCACAGATTGATGAAGACCAAGTGTTACAAATGGACCTGGAGAACAGTCTGATTACTACCTGGAGGGACGTGCAGGTATTGCGGCTCCTCCTGCTCCTCCTTTCAGCACATTGCCCAGCAGGTATGCTGGCAACTGCAGCAGCCAAAAAAAAAAAAAACCCCACATCCTCTAAGGGTTGGAATCACTGGATGACTAAAAGCTTGATAACAGCTGAATTTGGGCTAGTTCCCTTGTAAAGCACTGGCTAAGATCCTACATCACAGTTACATGGTGTATGTATGGATCTGTACATTGATTATGCTTTACTCATTTGCTGAATGGTATTTTTGGACAACCCAAATTCACAGATGAATACACATGTGCATTCACATTTGCATACACAAGACGCAACATGCCTAAAACACTATGCAGAGTTTTAATGTTTATTTGAGTTGACACAACCCTTAACGTTTGGTCTGTGATGACTTATCTGTATCCCACACAATCTTTCCCTGATTTTGCAGTCCTCCATTGCTGAATATGCATCTGTAAATCATCCCTAGTAGTGGACAGTAAACAGACATTACTGAAGGAACTTCAGTTCTGTATTCTGTGTGCTTGTGCTTCTAGCTGGAATTGGATAGAAACTGTGGCAGACAGTTTATAAATGGCATATCCACTGTGGCATTCAGCTTTCCTTTTTATCATCTAGGAATACTGTCTCCTCTTTCTCCCACTGCTCCTTATCTTCCTTTTTGTTGTTGTGTTACTGCTTTTTTGCTACCATTCATGGCTGCCATGCCTTTCTGCCTGCAGCTCTCACAAGCTGGTGATATCATTTTAGAGGTGTATCTCGAACTGAAGAATCCTGACTGTTGTGTCACTCTTAAGGTAAGCTATATATTTTTAGCCATTACTGGGCCATGTGAGGCAGCTGTCTTTTCATACCGCAAGAGAAACCAGTCCAAGAAAAGTTGCTTTGTAAGGAAATCTCCAGGGAATCCAGATCTACTGTGTTGTCCATGACTGGGAGGAAAGGTGTGGTCCCATAACAGTCATTGAAACATGGAGATGCTCTTGCTTTCCTGGTGATTGATTTTCAACTTGGATGTTTCAATGGACTGTCTTATGTTAGATTTTGCATCTTGACTTGACAGAACGTAAGCTCTTTGGGTTCTGGACTTGTTCACCTTGACTGCTTCTTGCCAATCACCCTGCAGGTATCCCCTGTCATGAGAGCAGAAGAACTTACAAATCGAGTTCTGGAGATGCGAAATGTGGCAGCAAGTCAGGATATTTGGCTGACCTTTGAGGTCTTAGAGAACGGAGAACTTGGTGAGTGAGGCAAGACTACTTCTGTTGTATCTGTGTGTGAATAAGCCTGGAGAGTCATTTAAAAGGCACATTGATTTTAATTGTATAACACCTTTTTATTTAAAAACTCCCCAAAGCTGCTAACAACAATTGAATTTCAATACATCTGGAATGTATTTCCCATTTCAGGGCCCCACATTTTAAGAAGTATGCAGATAAACTGAAGCATGTCTAAAGGACAATGACTACAGCAGTAAGGATTCGGGAAATCAGGTCCTCTGAGGAATGGTTGAAGCCATGAAAGCTTAGCTTTAGTGGTGATAAAGGCCATCAAGATGTGGAGCAGTCTGGACATTCTCTCTAACAAGGCACTTTGGGATCCTTAACCTGAAGAAGACAATAATTAAGGATTAGTTGGTTTTCCTTTTTGTTTGATATCCTTGATTGGGATTTTTGTTATAATTTTGTACGGAAATATTTTTATTATTTGCTGTCGTCAGCTGAATTTCAGTAGAAAGACAGAACAAAAAATTAATAGATAAAGAAATAAGGAGAAGCTTGGCAGCAGTCTTCAAAAAGTTGAAGGACCGCACGAAGGTGATGGTGCAGCATTAGAAGCCATGAATGGAAATTGTGAAAAAGCAGGTTCTGAGTAAACCATTAGGAGAAATGTCCAAATTGTAAGAGCTGTCCAGCAGTAGGATAAATTGCCTTGGTAGGCTATAGACTCTCCTTTGCTGGAGGGAGTTAAAAGAGAGGCTAAGCAGTCATGTCTCTGAGATACTGTAATTGCAGTTCAGATCCTAAACTAAGCAAAGAAGTATCCTCCAAGATCCCTCCCAACTCTAAAATTCAATGATTCTATGAAGTATAGAATATGTTCCCTGGGATCTTTGAGCTTGCACCTCTAGCCAAATTACAAAGTATACTTGACCCAATAAATTTGCTAGATCCCATATTTTGTTCCCCCTTGCGTCCAATTCTCTGAATTCTGACAACATTTTGGCACTAATTTTTCAGAGCGCCCCTTGCATCCTAAGGAGAAGGTTCTGGAGCAAGCTCTACAGTGGTGTAAACTCTCCAAACCCAGCTCTGCCTATTTGCTAGTGAAAAAGGTGCCTATTCGGGAAGGCAGTTGCCTTTTCACTGGTGAGTCAATTTGCTCTTTGTGGAGAGCCTAGCCTGTTGATGTCATTGGGACTAGCAAATCAGTCCCCTCGCAAATGTGGACTTTTAGGTATATGGTGACAATCTAGAATATATGGTTACAATAACACTGCTGGGAATGGACTTCTGTACTGCCAGTGATCTTATTCAATTGGTGGCAATTTCCTATATGATGAATAAAATATAGCCAAGATTGAAAAACCCACGGCTAAGAAAGGGAGTGACATTTGCCTGCCAAGATATGTCTCATAACCATCTTTAGGAGAGAATAGAGAAAAGATAATCCTGTGATTCTGTTGTCACTTTTCTCCTCCGGGATCATTTTCAACATGGAAACAAAATACTCCTATTTATGGCTTGGATCAATAGGAGTATAGAGTCAAGATCCAGGGAAGTCATGCTACCCCTCTATTCTGCCTTGCTCAGACCACATCTGAAATACTGTGTCCAATTCTGGGCACCACAATTGAAGGGAGATGTTGACCAGCTTTTAGTCAGCACAGGAGGGTGACTAAAATAATCAAGGAGAACAAGCTCTATGAGGAGTGGCTTAAAATGTTTAGCCTACATAAGAGAAGGTTGAGAGGAGACTTGATGGCCATGTATGTGGCCATCATGTAAATATGTGAGGGGAAGTAATCGGGAGAAGGGAGCAGGGAGCAGGCTTGTTTTCTGCTGCCCTGAAAACTAGGATGTGGAACAGTGCCTTCAAACTACAGGAAAGGAGATTCCACCTGAACATGAGGAAGTACTTCCTAACTGTGAGAGCAGTTTAGCAGTGGAACTCTCTGCCCCGGAGTGTGGTGGAGGCTTTTAAACAGAGGCTGGATAACCGTCTGTTGGGGGTGCTTCAAATGCAATTTTCCTGCTTCTTGACAGAGGGTTGGACATGAGGTCTTTTCCAACTCCATGATTCTATGATCTTTGCCTGATAAGAACCCCATAATGTTGTGAAAGCTTACACAATCTATTTTTGTGCTTTTTATTGGTTCAATAAAAGTATCAGTGCTTTGTGTGATTTGGATTTTTTTTATTTTGCTGCATAGCCAACATAGCTACCCTTGAATATGTTTACCAAAAAACCTGGATGTTGAAGGAAATGTGGCATGTCTGTTGTTCTACCTCTTGAGTGCTGACTCTATCAATCCTCTGCATAGTCCTTTGTTAAGGAAACCATGCCTTGCTTGTTTTCAACCTCACTCCCTAAGGTTTCATTGCAGGCATCAAACGAGAGAGCCCCAAATGTGGTCTGTTAAAGTGTCGTGAGGAATGGCCCAAGCTTCTGGGGAACAAGTTTCAGGAGCGCTATTTTGTCATCAAGGACCACAAGCTGCTTATGCTGAAAGAGAAGCGGGTATAGCAAACCAACAGATTCATTTACTCTTCATTGTTATGTCATGGCTTACTTTGTAAAGGCATATTTACTGACCTTTCGTGGAATTAAATGGGAAATTTGTTTTATTTTGTTTATTCTGTTTCCTGTCTTTGGAAGGAAAAATCTGACTTTGCGACTACCCTTTGGCCAGCCAATCTGTTTTGGGCACAACCTTTTCTGCTGAGAAGGATAGGGTGGCCCTGGAGAGGAGTGTCCCAACGTTCATGCAAGACCAACTTTAGGTGTAAATTGGGAGCGTGCACTCCCCCTGGAAGATTGGCACATTTGTTCAGACCAGAGCAAATACACTTCCAATGCAGGCTCTTTAGAGCTCATGTCTCTGTGTCAACGCTATAACGGATATGAGAGCAAACTCTCATACTAGGGAACTTTTCATTTGGAGATTGGCCCTACCATGATCTAATTGTTGGGACTTCTGCAAAACTGTGGAGTTAAAAGGAGAAAACAGTGCCAGTTATGTATTGTCGAAGGCTTTCATGGCTGAAATCACTGGGTTGTTGTAGGTTTTTCCGGGCTATATGGCCATGTTCTATAGGCATTTTTTCCTGACGTTTCGCCTGCATCTATGGCAAGCATCCTCAGAGGTAGTGAGGTCTGTTGGAAGTAGGAAAATGGGTTTATATATCTGTGGAATGACCAGGGTGGGACAAAGGACTTATGTCTGCTCGAGCTAGGTGTGAATGTTTCAACTGACCACCTTGATTAGCATTTAAATGATTGGAAGTGCCTGGGGGGAATCTTTTGGTGAGAGTGATTTGATGTGCCTGATTGTTTACTCTCTGTTGTTTTGCTGTTGTAATTTTTGAGTTTTTTTTAATACTGGTAGCCAGATTTTGTTCATTTTCATGGTTTCTTCCTTTCTGTTGAAATTGTCCACATGCTTGTGGATTTCAATGGCTTCTAAAACCCATTATCCTACTTCCAACAGACCTCACTACCTCTGAGGATGCTTGCCATAGATGTAGGCGAAAGGTCAGGAGAAAATGCCTCTAGAACATGGCCATATAGCCCAGAAAAACCTACAACAACCCAGTGCTAGTTATGTCAAGTCATAATATTAACTTTTTAAGACTCTGATAATTCCTTGAGATGAATCAGAGACATTTGAAATTCTTTCTATATTGAGTCAAAAAAGGGAACCCAAAATAAGGCGTTTTTCCTCTATTTCAGCACCTTTCAAACCATAAAACACTTTAGGTTGAATTTGACACCAGCAAATGAAAAAAGTGTTAATTAGGAAGTAATCACATTGTCTGGATGCAATGAAGTGAATGTGAAAAAAAGGATTGGCAATCTAAACAGTAAACCTTGAACATTTATGTTTCTTTATGTTGTGATGATGTTAACAATACAAAGTACCTTTGGACTAAGGGTTTACCTTGCTATTATCCACAGAGTGTGAAACCGGAACGGGAATGGCTACTGGACATGGCCAAAGTTTACATGGGGATTCGAAAAAAGCTAAAGCCACCTTCACAGTGAGTGAAATTGTATCTTGTGTTATAGCTTATCCCACAACTACTGCTATTGCACTAGTCATGGATTTGTGTGTGGATAAATGCCACCTTCTCCCAGAAGCCCTGTCACCAGAGCGTGGGGCATGACTCCATGAAAAAGCCAGTGCTTTGTGTGCAAAAAGCTCACTCAAAGTCTCTGAAGATAACATAGCTGACTGGGAAACTCAGGCTTGAGACTTGAGAGTTGCTTTAGGTCAGAATAGACAGCAATAAGATGACAGAATATATATGGCAGCTTCTTATAACCACATGAAATCTGCCAAACCTCACTCCAGTTTTGGTTGATATATTGGAGCTGTTTCACACAACACATTTTTGAGGTGTACCTCAATGTTTATTGTGTACACAAGACAAGAATTATTTCCACTTGTATGTATTGCAAAGTTACATGTGACAGTGTTAAAATGCACCATTGCTTCCTGCCATATGTAAACACAGATACACATGTTTACCATAATATAACAGCTGAAGCAGAGCAAACAACAATAATACTGAAGGAGGGAAGAAGCAGAGGAAGTCATTCATGTCCCACCTTTCTTTGTGGTAAGAACATTGCCAAAGCAATGTCTAGTTTGTTTCTCAAGCCCCTTCTGCACTACCATATAAAATCTAGATTATCTGCTTTGAACTGGATTATATGGCATTGTAGACTGATATAATCCAGTTCAAAGCAGATAATGTGTCTTATCTGCTTTGATAATCTAGATTATATGGCAGTGTAAAGGGGCCCATGTCTTTAGAAAATATTGACTTGCTCTGTCTGTATCTCTTCTCTAGGTGGGGTTTTACTCTAGCCCTGGAAAAACAGCAACTGTGAGTACCCTTTCTGTGCTGACCAAGGGGGGTAGGACAATAAGGCTATTTCAATCATTTTGCTTAGATGTCTTTTCCTGTGTATTTTTCTCATCCCAAACAAGGAAAGATGAAATAAACCTGTCAATATTTGCCTGTCTGTGTTATATAAATGGCAGTATAGTTCACAAAGTCCATCCCATGTCCACTGCAGAATACCTGGTGGACTGGTGACACTTTCTGGTTGGCTAACATTCACCCTGCCTAAGCCACTGTTCAAGGTGGAATAAGGGACTTGAGTTTTCTTTCATTGTTGAGGGGGATGTTGGTAAGATAACTGCTTAGATTTTGCCTACCATCCCATGGCAATAATGCAGCAGTGGGGAGGAAGAGAAATATGATTCGTACGTACTCAACCTTTGTTCCTAGAAAAGTTAATATCACAGTATTCTGCTTCCTTTGTGTTGTAGCTAGCAGAACATATAGTTACTTGGGTACAATGGGTTCAATGATGAATTTTAGATGGGGACCACAATACTTCTCATTCCAATATGGGACCAACATGTTCAATTGCAACTCACCCCTGAGATTGTGGGGACAAACAGCTACAGATAACTATATTCCCTTCACACTCTGCTTTTGAACTTTTGAAGCATCTAGCAAGCCATCCCATCAATGGAAACAGAATGTTGACCTGTGTTGTTTTCTACTGGAGCATTTCTGGTGTTACTGCAAGTTTTTCTTGGAGAAACTCCACTTATTGCTCTGGAGAATGTTTCACTGTCTGTTTAGGTAAACTGGAGGATGGTATGTGCTAAAGTTAAATGCAGTAAAGTCTCATTTACCCAACATAAATGGGCCGGCAGAATGTTGTCTAAGTGTTGGATAATAAGGAGGGATTAAGGAAAAGCCTATTAAACGTCAAATTACATTATGATTTTACAACTTAAGCACCAAAACATCATCTTTTACAACAAATCAACAGAAAAAGCAGTTCAATACACAGTAACATTCTGTAGTAATTCCTGTATTTACAAATTCAGCACCAAAACATTGCAGTGTCTTGAAACAGCTGTTGATGAGGGTGGGAGGCAGACTGTGTTGGATAATACAGAATGTTGGATAAGCAAAGGTTGGATAAGCGAGACTCTACTATAGTACTGGCACTAACTAGTGTCTGCTCCATAGGTATTTGGCATGCACTGGACAATCAGAACTGTGGGACTGGACCACCAGCATCCTGAAAGCCCAGGTTTGTAAAGAAGAAATGCATTGCACCTGAAGTATGGAAGTTCAAACTTTTAGGTTATAAACCATCCTGTGGTCAAACACAGCAATTTCCCCTTCAGGAGAAAATCATACTCATGCTTACCGCAATTTTTGAATAACATGCAGCTCTAGGATTACTACAGACATCTCTGTCTATCTAAATTCCTTTCTTTATGACTGACAACAATAGACTATAAACTTATCCAATTTCTCTTTGTCATAACATTATGATTTGGTATGGACCATCTCCTCAGATGTTTTAGGAGTAGACTTTACCTCTGATAATACAGCTGTATGAGATTTACTCCCAAGTAGGCTCCATGCAAGAGTTGAAGGAATTAGCACATTGTGTTATTTCTCTGAAGGAATTGGAAAGAGTTGTGTATATACATACTTTGTTTCTTTGTGCATGCATCTGTGCATTACTTACCACAAGGATGGATTAATCTAGATTGTCAGTGTGCTTACTGAAGCTAGAGTTTCCTGCTTTCTTTGGTAAAATGTCATTTCTTTCCAATGCTATTGGGAAGAAAGGCCCATCAATGCCAATTAACTTTGTAGAAAAAAAACTTTTTTTTTCTTTTGTGTCAGGAGCAACTTGAGAAACTGCAAGTTGCTTCTGGTGTGACAGAATTGGCTGCCTGCAAGGACGTTGCCCAGGGGATGCCCAGATGTTTGATGTTTTACCATCCTTGTGGGAGGCTTCTCTCATGTTCCCGTATGGGCAGCTGGAGCTGACAAAGGAGCTCAACCCACTCTCCCTGGTTTTGAGCAACTGTCCTGTCAGTCAGCAGTCTTGCCACCACAGGGATTTAACCCAGGGGTCCTCAAACTTTTTAAACAGAGGGCCAGGTCGCAGTCCCTCAAACTGTTGGAGGGCCGGATTATAATTTAAAAAAAACATGAATGAATTCCTATGCACTCTGCACATATCTTATTTGTAGTACAAAAAACCCCACTTAAAAACAATACAATAATTAAAATGAAGAACAATTTTAACAAATATAAACCTATTAGTATTTCAATGGGAAATGTGGGCCTGCTTTTGGCTGATGAGATAGGATTGTTGTTGTTGTTGTGTGCTTTCAAGTCCAGACTTAGGTTGACCCTGAGCTAGGGTTGGGTAAATGACCTTGGAGGGCCGTATCCGGCCCTCGGGCCTTAGTTTGAGGACCCCTGGTTTAACCCATTGCACAACTGAGGGCTCCAAATGTAAAATGAGAGGGAAGAAAGGGAATGGTTCTCCCCTTCTTTGGCTACATGGTTGCATACAGTATGAGGACAAAAAAAATAATTTTACTTCTCAGACCTAGGAATGGAGGTTTATAAACTAAGACCATAGTGACTGGTGGCTCCAAAATCCTCAGGATAGTGAATCCACTCAAGGTTTTATTGTAAACTAAAGCAGCTCTCCAAACTTGATGCCTAAATTGGTTTCACAATATAGATAGCTTTTTCAAAGCCTGCCAAAAAACTGTAAACACTACCCCATTAAAATAAGAGCCACCAACCCCCAATATCTTCCATTTCTTTTTCAACAGCACTCCCTATATTCTTTCTTTTTCCTTTAAACACAATGGGATGGAGCATACTGTGCTTTTGTGCAGGATCTGTTCATCCCAGTGGGACTTGTAGAGGCATTTCCTGTGCCCAGAGAGTCCCGTTCTACATCAGTTAATCCGTGTCATCCACATTACTGAGCTCAGCTTCTGGCCTATTTGGAGACATCTGGTTGACCATTGTGGGAAAGAAGGAGCAGGACTAGATAATGCTTCAATCCCAGCCAACTGGTCTTTTTCCATGTTCATTTAAGGGACAGGTGTTCCGTCATTGTTTTGGGTTATGCCTTAATTCAAGTTGGCAGCATATATCACAGTCAGGGAAATGAGAAGGTACCATTGGATCCTGTTGCCAAAAAGTTTGTTTTAATAGTATTTGGAGAAAGGGAAAAATTAGCTGTGTTTGTTTTTACAACAAAGAGCTTCTTCAGCTTTCTCCTCCAGGGTTTTCTTTGCAAGCGTGAAATTTCTGAAACGTTAATTATCACATTCCGGTAGGAATTTCAGAAGTGTCTTCAAGGACCCTTTTCTTTATAACAGAATTTTGCTTTGTAATAGTTTTCTGTTTGTAACTGTAAGATGGAAATACTTTGAATGCAGTTTTTGTAAAAATTAAGTAACTGCACACTTTGTAACCAAAGCTTTGTTCCTTATATCAGTATTGTTTACCAACAGGTGTGTATATGTGGTGGCACAGGACGATTGTTCTTCTTTAATTTCACAATAATTCTATGTAATTAGTTGCTGGCTGTGTAATAAGCATGCATCTTGTGAAGGAAGAACATTTATTCAACAGATGGTCATTTGGAGTTGCTGCTCAGTTACCCATGCTTAAATTACACAAACGGAAGAAAATCTTTCATATTCCAAGGTTCAATAGAGGAAAAATCTCCTGCAGTTCAGAAGTATGAAATACCCAAAGTGTTGTTCTCTCCCCAAAATAATCATAAAGAGTGCAGTATTTGGCCAAACTAAATTTGAATTAATGAAGCAGCATATTTGGCATTCACATAATTCTCTCCAATTCAGCCCATTCCCAGTATCAGATCTGAAGGACTGGCAAAAAGGCCTTAAACTAGGGGTCCTCAAACTATGGTCCGAGGGCCAAATACAGCCCCTCGAGGTCATTTACCCGGCCCTCGCTCAGTGTCAACCTTAGGCTGAAACGACTTGAAAGCACACAGCAGCAGCAACAACAATTCTATCTCATCAGCCAAAAGCAGGCCCACACTTCCCATAGAAATACCAATAAGTTTATATTTGTCAAAATTGTTATTAATTTTAATTATTGCATTGTTTTAAAGTGGGTTTTTTTTGCACTACAAATAAGATCTGTGCCGTGTGAATAGGAATTCATTCATGCTTTTTTCAAATTATAATCCGGCCCTCCAACAGTTTGAGGGACTTTGACCTGGCCCTCTGTTTAAAAATTTTGAGGACCCCTGCCTTAAACTATGGTTACAAAATAGCAATTAGATCCTCTAACTCCTAGTATAACTATAATTGGGTGAAAGTATGTAACAAATAGCATTGTTGCACCGCAGTGGCACAAAGGGTTAAACCGCTAGGCTGCTGAACTTGGTGACCGGAAGGTTAGCGGTTTGAATTTGTGGGACAGGGTGAGCTTCCGCTGTTAGCCCCAGCTCCTGCCAACCTAGCAGTTTGAAAACATGAAAATAGGTACCACCCCCACAGGAAGGTAAATGGCGCTCCATTCAGTCATACCGGCCAAATGACCTAGGAGGTGTCTACAGACAACACAAGCTCTTTGGTTTAGAAATTGAGGTGAACACCACCCCCAAAGCTAGAGATGAGCACTACCTTTCAGAACCGAAAGGGGAAGTAAACCTTTATCTGTGTATCTGTGTTTTGTTGTTTCCAGGCATTGAATGTGTCTGTATATGCTCAAATCTGCTCTGAGTCCCTTGGGGAAATTGGACAGAATATAAATATATTATTATTATTATTATTATTATTATTATTATTATTATTATTATTATTGTTTGAAACACAACAAGATGAGTCCACAGCAGACAAGATCACTCTGCTGAATGTTGTATTGGATCACACGTCGGACACTTCCCAAGTGTCTAGGGCTGTGTGATGTATCACCGAATAATGTGTGCAGATCCCAGTAAGGTGGCTTTCTGCAGATGGTAATTTTGTCAGCGCCGATGGTGATTAAGTGCATGCCAAGGTCTTTAGGTACTGCACCCAGTGTGCCGATCACAACTGGGACCACCTTTATTGGCTTGTGCCAGAGTCTTTGCAGTTCAATCGTTAAATCCTCATATCGTGTTTGCTTTTCCAGTTGTTTCTCTTCAATCCTGTTGTCACCTGGGATTGCTACATTAACAATCCATACTTTGTTTTTTAACACGATTGTGAGGTCAGGAGTATTGTGCTCCAAAACTCTGTCTGTCTGAATTCAGAAGTCCCAGAGAAGTTTGATGTGCTCATTCTCCATAACTTTTTCTGGCTTGTGATCCCACCAGTTAGTTGTCGCAGGCAGATGGTATTTATGGCACAAGTTCCAATTATTATTATTATTATTATTATTATTATTAAGCATGGTTGAGAAATTAGTTTGATCTTGGCTTAGTTTTTAATCCAGCCATAGTTTGTCCCACTTCAGACATAATTATTGTGACAGATAGAGACATGTACCTACAGAAGAAAGACCAAAGTTCTATCGAGGTAGGGCAGAATATACATTATTTATATTCCATTGATAGGTTTGCTACCACACTTGCAATGTAATGTCTCTTTTTGATAAGCAAGACTCTATAAATCCTTAATAGGATATCTATTAAACTTTAAAACAAAACAGGAGCATCCACATTCAGAATCATTCCACTTCTGAATATCACACATGATGGGGATACAGGAGAGTACTCTTGCCTTCATGCTCTGCTTGAAGTATCTGGTTTGGCCAGTTTAACAAGCAGGACATTCAGCTAGAAGAGCCATGGCTCTGGGAGTGCCTATAGGAGACACCACTGTTTTGTTGCTGCCATAAGTAAATTAGTGATCCTCTGAAAGCAGTGGAAGAAGGTGGCACCGGCAATTGTATTTCATGAGCCTTTTGTAAGCATCATTTTGTGTAGTAGAAACAGTGCAGCAATTTGCCAGATGAATTGGAAAGAACAGAGATTTCATCACATTTAATATCACACTATTGAAGTACATATGTTTTCAAGTGTCTATCAATAGAAATAAAAAGTTCAGTGTTTATGTGAGCAAACTGAATACAGTATACAGTTCCATGGATGGCTGACGATGCCATACTGTGAATAACAATAAATAATTGCTTTCTTTTCTGTATACAGCATGACAGCATCCGTACAGTCATCCTGCGTCGACGCTCTTCTTCTGACTTGGCCAAGCAGAAGTTTGGCACCATGCCCCTGATTCCTCTCCGTGGAGACAGTACCAACCCCACAATGCTCTCTGCTAATCAGACCTTGGTAAGACCTTGCCTGTATTCTGTTAATATCTGGCTTTTCTGTGAAGCGAAGCTTCATCTCAATGTATCACAGTTATTTTACCAAAGTACACCAAATGGCCATTTGGTTATATATTTCCTTCTTTCTCCCAAACAAGCCCAAAAGTAGTAAAATGCTCCTCGTTAATAACAACAACAACTTTATTTTATCACCTCACAGCCGGCACAGGGCTGAAGACCAACAGGTCGCAGGTTCAAATCCGGGGAGAGGCAGATGAGCTCCCTCTATCAGTTCCAGCTCCTCATGCGGGGACATGAGAGAAGCCTCCCACAAGGATGATAAAACATCAAAAAAATCATCTGGGCGTCCCCTGGGCAACGTCCTTGCAAACGGCCAGTTCTCTCACACCAGAAGCGACTTGCAGTTTCTCAAGTCGCTCCTGACACGACAAAAAAAAAACCAACCTCACAGCCTCTGGAGATGCCTCCATAGATGTAGGCAAAACATCAGGAGAGAATGCTTCTGAAACATGGCGATACAGCCCGAAAAACTTACAACAACCCAACTCTTTTTTTGTATCCTGCCACCATTTCCCCACAGGGACTCGGGGCAGCTTACATAGAGACAAGCCTGGTCAAACAGAGATTAAAATATAACACACTAAAAATTACAAATACAAAACATCATAAAAACATAACCAACAACAACAACTAATAGCCTAATGTAATGACCATGTACTAAGCTCATGAGAAAGGCAGGGCTTGTGTAATACAGTTGCAAGGACAGGGCTGATAGAAAAGTGCAGGAGTCAGATGATAAGTTTGGTCTAGGACAGCGTTTCTCAACCTGGGGATCAGGGGGGTCACCAAAGACAGTATTTTTGTGGGTCATTGAGGTTCTGTGTGGGAAATTTGGCCCAATTCTATTATTGGTGGGATTCAGGATGCTCTTTGATTGTAGGTGAACTATAAATCCCAGCAACTGCAACTCTTAAATGTCAAGGTCTATTTTCCCCCAAAGTCCACCAGTGTTCACATTTGGACATATTGAGCATTCCTACCAAGTTTGGTATAGATCCATCATTGCTTGAGTGCTCTCTGGATGTAGGTGAACTACAACTCCAAAACTCCACCAAACTCTTCTAGTATTTTCTGTTGGTCATGGGAATTTTGTGTGCCACGTTTGGTTCAATTCCATCATTGTTGGAGTTCAGAATGCTCTTTGATTGTAGGTTAACCATAAATCCCAGCAACTACAACTCCCAAATGACAAAATCAATCCCCCAACCCCACCAGTATTCAAATTTGGACATATCAAATATTTGTGCAGTATTTTTGTCCAGTGGATGAAAATACACAGTTATGAAGCAGCAAATTACAATTATGAAGCAGTGACAAAAATAACGTTATGGTTGGGGGTTACCACAACATGAGGAACTGTCGTAACAGGTCATGGGATTAGGAAGGTTGAGAACCACTGGTCTAGGAGGACCAAGTCAATTAAACTCTTAAACTCCTTAATCTCTTCTAGGTTCTCCACATTAACCCAGTAGTAATGATAGTTCTCCTCTCACTTTTTGTCTGTGTTTCATCTCTTGTTTTCAGCACCGACTACATACCCGAAGGACATTGTCCATGTTCTTTGTAAGTATCTCTTCATTTTCTACATATTTATCAAGATCAACAACATAAATTCGAAGTGAATCCTAAAAGCAAGTATCAGATACAGTGAAGGCAATCCAGACATCATTTCCTTAAATTGGTTTCCTAGGAATTTTTCTGGGATCTTCTTTTTTGCCCTTTTCACTTAAAATTGTTTGTTCCCAGTTCACATAATTACAGGCCCAGCCCAACTGACATATGGTAATCATGGGGTCATGGAGATGCTGCTCTGCTATTAAGCAAGATGAAGCAGCTGCCCCAGGAAACTGATTCACCCTTATTAAAGCTAGTGAAGGAAATAGATACGATCCATGACAAATAAATCCATTTCTTCAACAAAAGGTGGAAAAGTTGTTCCTGGTTACTGAGATGGAGTTTTCATAAGAGGAATTCAAAATCAATGGTGCCAGATGGTATTTAGTGATTGGTGCAGGGAGGAGTATATGTTCATATCTGAATCAAGTTTTCTGTTTCGTCTTCGTCATGCTCTGAGATTATGAACAATTCTTAGGGACAAAAACCATGGCCAAAAGGTGGTGCCCCATGGCCTAGCCTTCATTTAAGATTACAACAACCCAAAAAGAAATCCAGTTGTGCTACAGAATATATGTGATATTAGTCAGTATTTTCTGCTTAAGTGTATCAGACTGGATACACTCTATCCCAGGTTTAGTTTTCTCTGGACCTTTGTAAAAAGACAGGTCAAGCAAACATATTTTGCCTTTCTTATCAGCTTAGCACTTGGTTTGCAGATGATCCACAGCTCAGGGTCAGAGCTGTGGATCATCGCAGGACCTAAAACAAAGCCAGATGCTGAATTAGGGGAAGCCACGAGATTCAGGTATCCTAAAACCTGAAGCCTACTAGGCAAAGGGTTAGCAGAGCATGAACACAGGTCACTTCAATGGGTTTTCACTAGACCTGGGTGATCCACAAGCTTTGTGCTGCTTGTCAAGATCAGAGACTGAAGTGTTATATTCCTGTACTCCTGTACCTTGAATAACTGTGTCCCCATAGCACTGGATAGCTCATTATACCTCTGATTAATAGTTGCCATACCTCTGATTAATAGTTGCGACCCCACCAGCTCAATAGATATCTTGAGCAATGATTAATCTATTTGTCCCAAAGAAATGGGAAATTATTGTTTCCATTTGATGTCTGATGTTTTGTCTTATGTCTGTTATAACAGGCTGTGCTATTTATGTAATTTTAGTTTGTTAAGTTATAATTCATATTTATATGTTGGGTTGTATAAATTTTGTTAGTATGTATGTATTGTTGTTGTATTCGGGCACTGAATGTTTGCATTTTATGTATGGAATCTGCCCTGAGTCCCTTTGGGGAGATACAGCGGAATATAAATCAAGTATTATTATTTTGTATTGTCGAAGGCTTTCATGGCCAGAATCACTGGGTTGTTGTAGGTTTTTTCGGACGATATGGCCATGTTCTACAGGCATTCTCTCCTGACGTTTCACCTGCATCTATAGCAAGCATCCTCAGAGGTAGTGAGATCTGTTGGAACTAGGAAAAAGGGTTTATATATCTGTGGAATGACCAGGATGAGACACAGGACTCTTGTCTGCTGGAGTTAGGTGTGAATGTTTCAACTGACCACCTTGATTAGCATTTGATGCCCTGGCAGTGCCTGGGGCAATCTTTTGTTAAGAGGTGATTAGATGTCCCTGATTGTTTTCCCTCTGTTGCTTTGTTGTTGTAATTTTAGAGTTTTTTTTTAAATACTGGTAGCCAGATTTTGTTCATTTTCATGGTTTCCTCCTTTCTGTTGAAATTGTCCACATGCTTGTGTATTTCAGTGGCTTCTCTGTGTAGTCTGGCATGGTGATTGTGAGAGTGGTCAAGCATTTCTGTGTTCTCAAATAATATGCTGTGTCCAGGTTGGTTCATTAGGAATCAAGGAACATGAAAGGCACTGCAGACTACTTCAACCAGAGAAATCAGCCATAGCAGAGCACTTGATGAACCAACCTGGACATCAGGGACATCTAAACACCTCTCAACAAAAGATTGCCCCAGGCACTGCCAGGGCATCAAATGCTAATCAAGGTGGTCAGTTGAAACATTCACACCTAGCTCCAGTAGACAAGAGTTCTTTGTCCTACCCTGGTCATTCCACAGATATATAAACCCATTTTCCTAGTTCCAACAGGCCTCACTACCTCTGAGGATGCTTGCCATAGATGCAGGTGAAACATCAGGAGAGAATGCCTCTAGAACATGGCCATATAGCCCGAAAAAAACTACAACAACCTATTATTATTATTATTATTATTATTTGGCTAAGACCCCATCTCAATGCAGTTCCCATGTCAAGTCTATGTCTCAGATAGTTAGGACAGCAGGTGTTTATCTGTGTTTCAGGCCCAAGAAACAAGCAAGCGTAGTCTTCAATTGATGCCTTTTGTCTTGGCCTTTACAGCCAATGAAGATCCATCAGGGTTCATTAGAAGAGCAGCAGGAAACAGAAGAGTCCGAACCTGTCTATGAGGAGGTTGGCACCTTTACAGACCTGGGTTTTTTGGAACTCCGTGACTCCCTGCTCCCTCCTGTGGATCGGACCAAGAAGCCAGTTACTGCTCCAGAGCAGGGGATGCCAAACTCCCTGCCTCCCTGCCCTGCCCCCAGAGCATCAGGAAGTGATGTAGGGAAAGCAGGATGCCTGCAGAAGACTCCTAGCCTGGAGTTACAGAAGGACTCCACTGCAAATAAACCCCCAGCGCATGGAACAACTTCAGCTGAAAAAGAGTCTGGACAGCTTCAAGGACCACCTGCCTCAGAAAGAGAGCAGGACCAGCCAAACGAAGTCACAACCCTCCACCCAGAACCTCCCACTGGAATGGAGACTCAATTTGGTGACACCAGAAGAAAAAGCTCCCAAGCAGACTTATCCATTGGTAATAAGCTAATGCAGGAACTGAGCGCAGCCATCCTCCGGAAGAATGAATGCCAAACTCTGCCAGTGACAACAGGAAAGCAGACTCTCCCACCAGAGGATGGGAAAGTTCACCTGGAAGGTTCATATAATCTAAGGACTGGGAGCTCTTAAACTTCAGTACTGAGGGACCCTAAAATAGAGTCACAGTGCTTGTTGAGCTATACAACTTATCTGGAGCATATACAAACACGTGTTCTTCCTCAAAGCGTAGCTGTAAGAACTTTCTCCCCTTACTGTCCACTAGAAATATTTTACTATGAAATATCAGTCACTGCTACAGTTTGGGCAAAATGGCAGATGGTAAGGTGTAAGAAGGGGAGTTTCACTGTGCTGAATGGTGCATCCCTGTCTTGACCTCAGCCCTGTCACAGGACCATCTTATATCCATATGCATCCATATGCATTATAACTCTGTACATACCCAGGTCTGTGTGTCATGCCAAACTTCTTTCTCCCAATGTGGCACTGAGTGGAAGATTCAGATTTCTGGGCATCCCAGCCTTTATGCAAGTGTGTGTACAACGTTTGTTGGAATTCTGAATGTCAGAGAAATGGTTTGAAAGAGTCAGTGTTTCTTCACCATCCTGCCAAAACAGAATGAGTTACATAAAATAGTACAAACTGAAAAAAAGGGAATTACCATTTTGCAGAATTTGCTCAGCAACCATAATTTGTACATGTCACCCGACCTCAGCTGCTTATGATATAGAATTTAGATGGCTTGTTCAGAAAGTATACACAGGTCTGCACATATTTCTAACCAAGGCCTAAAGAGTAAATGCTATTACAAGGATAAGGAAATCCCCGTTGCACAAGGCAAATCTGGTAATATTTATATTGCGAATTGGATTAAAGAATTTTGTATAATACAGAGCAAGAGAATTTGCTTGTCACAGGTAATCTCAAAAAGACTTATAAATCTGTGATAAAACCACGGAGCATTTCTGTCTAAGAGAGAGGTGACCGTACAAGTTATGAATAAGATTGGTTCTGTAGGTTTGGTCTTAGGTTGAATTTGTATGATGTAAGTCAGAACAGGTACATTTTTAAAGTGTAACTCCATACATACACACACACACTTATATATATATACATACACACACACATGCATGCATGCTTTGGATAGTACAGGGAAGAGATAACCCTCTTACGGTGTTTGTTTTGCTATCTGTGGCCTTGTTCAGAAGATTTTGCCGCACTTTCTATCCCTGTAATAATTGGATTTTGAAAATTTTGGCTTATTGTGGAAACAAGGATTAGTTAAGTTATATAGCTTCAGTTGAGACAACTTTTCCCTGTGATAAGTCTTTCAGGGGTGAATTTCCCTTCCTAGGAGTGAATCTGCTGCATTGTAAATGTTTAGAACAAGGTTCCTGGAACTGTACATGGACCCACCAAGACTTTTTCCTTGATATCCATGGAATGGCCTGAAGTATTGAGTCAGAAACTCAGCTTTGCTCTGCCTTGTTGTTCAGAACATCTGACTGGATACCAACACAACAGAAAGTAGGCTTACCTTTCAGAGGTGGGGGAGACTGCAATCAATTGGTCTGTGATAAAATATATCTTTTGCTTGGTGAGTTAGAGATGAAATAAATTGCAATGCTGGCAGCCTTCAAAGGCAAACAACAACGTGACTTAGCAGTTGTAAGGCAATACTTCAGGCCCTCTTTGGAAACCATGTGAGAGGGGTAAATGGACAAAGCACAAGATGGGAAAACTCATACAACAACATAGGGTCTTCTTCAGGTGATGGACAGAGTGGAGGCGTATATTCTTCACCAGCAAATTTTGTGGGCTGTGGCAGCCAAACCTAGACAATATAGAACTCATCCCTTCTTCCATGTTGGTGGTGATGAAAATAAGGTGGTGATGAAAAGACTCATGAGGAGTTATGTTGACATTCTGAAACAATGAGGTAGCCCCTACTCTTCTCACTCATTTGGGCAACAAACCTGAAACTCTATCATTTGATAGACTCTTCAAGACATACCTAGACATAACCATGGGGAGATCAAAGACTGAATCTCTCAATGAATTTTGAAAGGGAAATAGTAGCCAGGAGACAGTGAATCAAATTGGGACTGTGCCACTAGAAGAAGTATATTTACTCTTTGCCTCTTGCAAAAGGATGCATACTGTAAGCATGTTTTTTTTTCAATTCCTGCAAAATTTGTTTAGATTGAATTAGTAGTACCTTTTGGAAACCAGTTCCACATTTGTGCGGCCATAGAATTATAAGAGTTGGAAGATTTTCCTGGGACATTTAGTCCAAACTTTTGCCAGTGAAGGAATCTACCACTAAAGCACTGCCAAGGGGTGGCCATTTAACCGCTGCTTAAAAACATCCAGTGATCCTCAATTCTCCCAAATATTCGTGTGGAAGTTTGCCACTTGAGTCACCACTTTTCTGCCAGTTATGAGGTTCTGCCTAAACCCCATCAAATGCGAAGATTTCCACAAATCTCATGGTTGCCACCAAGAGTGAGGGCTTATTATTGTCCATTCCTTTGCCGCCAATGTAAGGAACTCCTCCTATCCTAGTGCTGTGTCCACCAACTAGATGCCTTCAAAGTGCCTGTGTGAGATATTATGCAACTTATCTCCACACTTATCATCCCTCTTTATTCACTGCTGGCATCACAGATGCCATGTCTAAATCCAAATGTTTTATTATACAGTTGACTCTCCACATTTGTGGCTTCAACTCTTGTGAATTTTGAATCTCTAGCTCCACCAGGGCTACTCAATGGTCAACCTCAAAAAGTATTTGCAAGAACCCTGGGATTCAGATAGCCTCTCTTAGGAGTATTCCAACACTTTATTTATTGATTAAGAACATTGGATAGGCAAGCCTTGTTTCCATCATCCAATAGGTTTATATCATAGTGCAATGAGCTTTCACCACTAGTCCTTCCACTCCAGCCATGGTTATACATCACTTTCAGTGCTGTTGAAATTGCCAGGGGCAGAACCAGCAGGCCTAGTGGGGTATCCTCTGATTTCCCTTAACTTCAGGGAGATCAATTGTCATCTCCAACCTTGATTTGACCATTGCTCACAGAAGACAATGACAGAGTGCCATTTTCCAACTTGATGGTTCTAGAAAACTATCCATTCTAGATACTACAAGTCTGACCACTAAAAAGTCTATTCTAGGATTTTGAGGACACCAGTGTCTGAGATTTTCCTCTTTCTAAATACGAGGACCTTTGCTCAAGTGAGCTGTTCCACTTATAGGACCTCACTTTGGAAATGTCACTCCAGAAAATCCCAAAGATTACAGATGAATCTGGGGAAAAATGCCTGCAAGCACTTTTCCTTGAGCTCTTCTGGGGTTAATTCTGGCCCTGAAGTCATTGAAAGTAGGTAGGTGTTTGCTAGCCACCTCCTTCACTAATCTAGGCTCCAGGTTCCAACTTATTTTGACCGGCTTTCTCCAGGTTGAACACAATTCCTCTGATAGAAGACCAAATTGGAGATAAATGGCTGAGAATAGAAAGGACAGAGTTACGTCAGGCCACAAGGTGGTGCCAAAACACCAAGGCTGGATACAGGTTATTTTTTCATGCAAAGAGGAGGGGAAAGTTGCCTTCTGTATTACAGCTACCACCCTCTGTACTACTGTACAGGCCAGCTGTATGTGGGGAGGTCTGGCATTTAGAAAGTCCATAATCTAGGTAGCCCCATACTTTGGCAGAAGTGACCCAAAGCATCATGCAAAATCTCCTTACTCTCTCTTCCTTACAGCCTCAGGCCTGCAAAGTGCATCTTTAGCTGAAGTAGGTAGAAAAGGATAAGGAACTGTTGGTGAGCATCAGTACATCACACACTAGAAGGGTATCTTCTGCCACAGCAATGAAGTCTATTCAATCCAAAGCTTTATCTGTACAAAGGTCATTGTAAACCACTATATACCCTTGCCAATGATGGCCAGAATGAGAATAACAAAACCAGACATTCAGGCTCTGCACTTCATGATTAGCTCTGGGCTACCCCACATCACACTGCTACACACGTAAGAGGGTGACCTCCAAGGGATGCTACTAGATTGCTTCCAGCTCAAAACTTTCTATTCACTTTAAAGCATGAACTCTCATACAAGATACTCTCAACTGCAAGATAAAGGAACTCACCCTGTTATGTTTTATTTAAGAGAATTGCAGTTAATTCTTTTTTTCATATTCCAAATTGTTTTTAGCTGACTTAATTTTAGAACAGCTAGTTATTCCTGACCTATTTGGACTGCAGGCTGCAGCAAATAATTTCTGACTTCTGACAACCCCAGTGTGAACCTAACATGCAATGTTCTTGGCAAGATTATTCAGAGGATTTTTGCCATTGCTTCCCTCAGAGGCCGAGAGTGTGATTTGGCCAAGAGACTTTTCATAGCTGTGGGATTCAAACCCTTTCATGTTCCTTGATGCGTGTCTGGGCGCTGCGTTTGGTGGTCCCTATGTAGACTTGTCCACAGCTGCATGGTATACGGTAGACTCCTGCAGAGGTGAGAGGATCCCTCTTGTCCTTTGCTGAACGAAGCAGTTGTTGGATTTTCTTGGTGGATTTGTAGATTGTTTGTATGTTGTGTTTCCTCATCAGCTTCCCTATGTGGTCAGTGGTTCCCTTGATGTTCCTGCCATACATCAAGACACGCATCAAGGAACATGAAAGGCACTGCAGACTACTTCAACCAGAGAAGTCAGCCATAGCAGAGCACCTGATGAACCAGCCTGGACACAGCATATTATTTGAGAACACAGAAATACTGGACCAACAACCACCATGTCAGACTACACAGAGAAGCCATTGAAATCCACAAGCATGTGGACAATTTCAACAGAAAGGAGGAGACCATGAAAATGAACAAAATCTGGCTACCATTATTAAAAAACTCTAAAATTACAACAGCAAAACAGCAGAGAGGAAACAACCAGGCACATCTTAACACCTCTCAACAAAAGATTTTCCCAGGCTCAGGCAGGCCTTCAAATGCTAATGAAGGTGGTCAGTTGAAACATTCACACCTAGTTCCAGCAGAGAAGAGCTCTTTGCCCCACCCCAGCCATTCCACAGATATATAAACCCATTGTCCTATTTCCAACAGACCTCACTACCTCTGAGGATGCTTGCCATAGATGCAGGCGAAACATCAGGAGAAATGCCTCTAGAACATGGCTCTATAGCCCAAAAAAACCCACAAGAACCTAAGTTTATATTTGTTAAAAATGTTCTCCATTTTAATTATTTTATTGTTTTTAAGTGTTTTTTTGCACTACAAATAAGATATGTGCAGAGTGCTTAGGAATTCCTTCATGTTTTTTCAAATTATAATCTGGCCCTTCAACAGTTTGAGGGACTGTGACCTGGCCCTTGATGTAAAAAGTCTACACTGGTCTACACTGTAGAATTAATGCAGTTTGCCATAATTTTAACTGTCATGGCTCAATGCTATGGAATCATGGAAGCTGTAGTTTCTCTGCCAAATAGTATTGGTGCTTCACCAAACTTCAGCTCCCATGATTCCACAGTACTGTGTCATGGTAGTTAAAGTTGTTGCACTAAGCGTACTTCAGTCAAGTCCAATGCAGAAGACACAGTAACATTGTATCCAGACAAGAGGAAAAAACAGAAAAACTTTATTCTTATCAATAGAGTTAAAACATAAACTTGCAATGTTACAAACAGTGCAACAAACTTGCATAGTCTTTGTAAGCAATACAGAATAAGGCTTCTTCATCTTCATCCAAATGAGTGAGCAGTAGAAATGGTTGAGCAAAATGCCTGAGCAAAGGCTCCTTAGAACAAAAGCTGAACTGCATTCTAAAAACCATACAGTTATACCCCACCGGGTGTGGCCCAAACTTACTAG